AATCATATTTATTTCGACTGAAAACGTCGGAAAATTCCTGCAGTAGTGCTCTAAGCTGTTGGCGCTCTGAATTTGACAGGTCCGTCGATCCCGCACAAAGCGCGTCGAGCCACCCGTCATCGCTGTCCGAATGTGGGTGCAGTCGGGTGGCGGTGCCGACGTGATTCGCAACCGGTTCCTCGCAGGGCATTGGCGTCGCGTGCGCAAGCACCGTCCCTCGAGGAACCACAACAGGTTGCGATCCCACATTGAGGACCGCGATGAAAGGGTCCCCATCTCCCCTCACAACGGTCAGGGCCGGGATCAATTGCGGTCCACTAACCCCGGCCCTAGACGGTCCCAACAAGATCCCGTGGGCCCCCATACCCTCTGCGAAGGACCGACGAAGTTTTAGAGGTACTAACATCTGAGCCCCCGGCGGCACACGAACGGTTTCAACGACGGACGCTGGTTTGGTTACGAACGCCGTCCGAATCACCGAAGGGGAGGGTAAAAACGCCATGCGCCGTCCCGACGGGAGCTCAATACATCCCTGGTCTATTAAAATACGGATCGGCATTTTTCCCAAGAAGTCTGTCCCCAGCAGGCACGGAACCGCCAGTGAGGAGGAGACAAAAATCGGGCCTGATAATTTGATATCCCCAATACAAATTTGCGCTCGAATTTGTCCAATAATACCAAGGGAGCCCCCATTCGCCGCATAGAATGGGACATTAACTGGTAGTAAGGGACGGCTTTGGACAGGCAAAATGTTGTAAATCAATTCGGAAATAATGGTCGCCGATGCCCCCGTGTCAACCAGGATGCGTACCTCAACCCCGTCAATAAGTCCCACGACGGCCGACGACCCTGACGATGCGGCCACAACGCGATGGGCCAACGCGGACCACTGCCCGGGCTCAATTCGAGTCCCCACAGTGGTACGCGCCGGCCCGTCGCGATGCAACGTCGTCCCCCCATTTGTTGCGATGCGAGAGTGTGCGACAGGTGTGTGTGTTGGCCAAACATGTGTGGTGTCGCGACTCGCCGGATCATGCTGATGGAGCTTGGGAGGAGGAGGAGGCCCGGCGTCCTGGCGAGGCGTCGTCCCACGCTGTCGGGGAGAGCGGCACCCCGAGGCGACATGGCCCCGGACGCCGCAGTTGAAGCAGCGCGGAAGCGGCGGCGGCGATGACGGACGGTCGAAGCGGCTCGACCCATCCCGGGCCGGCCGCGCTCCCGTCCCCTGCTGCCGACGATGGTTGACGGCGAAGACCTCCTCCGCCGGAAGGGTGGCTGCCGCCACCGCACGCCCAGCCGCTGCCCTGCTGGCCTTCCGCCGCTGCGACAGCAAGTTGGCGTGGAGGAGTCGCGCCGCTTGTAGAGAAGTCATCTCAGAATCCTCCTGTGCCACGACGGCGATGTCCAGGTCGTCTGCTAGCAGGAGGATTTTTTCAGTTACCATGGCGTCGACCCCGTCCTCGTCCATGCGAGGAAAGGCTGTCTTGGCCAATGCCAGGAGGCTTGTTCTGTAAGCCAGCGGCGACTCCTTCGCGCCCCGCTGGCGGTCGTAGAACTGCTGCCTACACTCCGCGGAAGGCCCGTAGACTCCGGCCAGCAGCTGCAGCGCCATCGGCAGTGTAGAGCGCCTTTCCTTCGGCGCCGATGTTAGGGCGGCAAGCGCGTCGCCGTCCAGGAGCGCCGGCAGGGCGCTGAGAGCTTCAGCGTCTGTCCATTTGGCCATTTCTTGGTGGGCGAGGAAGCGTCTTTGGAAGCCGCCCCAGTCGCCCTCTGCGCCCACGAATTCTTTAAGCGGGGGCAGCCTTTGGTGCAGCGCAGCGGTTGCCGTGGAGTCCCGTGGGCTGCTGTCTCCCCGACTCGGCTGTGTCTCGGCGCGAACGGCAGATGGTATCGCCTGTCGCAGCCTTGATGACGCGCCCTCCTCCGTCGTTGATGCGGCAGCCCCAGCGCGGCCGATGTCGGACCCCAGGTTGAGGTTGGCCACGCCCCTAGCGGTCGCCGCGTCGATGGCGGGAAATTCAAAATTTGAATCTTCAGAAATGGCGGGAAGGCGCTCCGGACGCCGGCTCCCCTCGCCCCGCGGTGGACCACCAGCCCCCAGCCGTGTGATGTTCTCCAGCGTAGCGGCAGCGGCGTAGAGCAGTTCAGCCAGCCTCTCGTGAGCCAGCCTCAGGTCGTCTGTCCGCTGCTCCTCTTCATGGCGACGCTCCGGTAAGAACGCGTCCGGCCCCGGCTGCACGTTGTCTTGTTGAGCCATCTCGGGCTCGACAATTTCGGCGGCGTCTTCCGTTTGCTGTTCCCTGGCTCGAGCTGATTGGCGCGTGTCCATGTTCTTAGTTCTTCTGACGCCAGATGAAGTACTCTTCAAGACGCGTGGACAACGTGGTAAGGCACACGTATTTATTTGCACAATGTCTTACAGCACTGGAGGGATGTATCGGCCCCCTCACCCGTACAACTGGGAATTCACCCCTAGCTAGCCTTCCTAGCCGAGTCCTCCGCTAACGGGCTAGGGGAGGCTGTCTGGCCCGACACTGGTTAGTCGGGCTACGGTACCCGGAATCCCAGAGGTCTAACTCTGGTTCCGGGACCACGCCACTGGCTCCAGCCTGCGCTGCCCTTACAAGGGCGGCGTCCCAGGGGGAGTCCAGGGCCTATCTGGCCGGTCTTCTGTCTTCCCTTAACTACCCTAAGACTGAGCCCCGAGCTCTCTGGCTCATCCCTTTTTATACCCCCCTAGAGGATCGAAACCCCCCTCACGCCGTCCAGTGCGGACGTCGTTGCGGGCACCACCCCGTGTGCTCACAGAGTCCCCGCCCACTGTGTTTGTTATCCGTTAGCCCCTATGCAAACAGCCCTACACAACCAGCCCCTCTGTAACAGCCCTACAAAGGTAAGGCTCACCGAGCTATATAGCTCTTTTTTCAGAAGCCACTTGGCCACAAGTGATAGCCCAGCGAAATGTCTTATCATCACGTCGAAATTTATAGCAGCCAAATACTCTAAACGCATGCTTTCCTGAATGTGCAGGGGAAAATCGTAGGACCTGGAGAAAGATCCACGCGAGCAAACGAACTCCAAATATGGTACCCACGATGCTCCTGCTTACCAAGTAAGAGAGTTAACATCTCACCACCTCGTGGGCTCACTGGCATTTCGCTGTAAAATGTCGCGGTTCACTCCCTTCATTAAGACTCCGTCAACGCATCATAAGTCACGTCCGTTTAATACACCCCTGTCATTGCCCACACATTCTGCCACACATTTGTCCATGCAGAACTCCTGCAACCTCATCATTTAATTAACGACTCAATACCCTTCTCCCTTCAGCCCACGATTAAAACCTACAAATAAGTCATGATTTGCATTGTACACCTCCACCCCATTGTCTCCTCCGAACATTGTGAACAATGCTTAATATTGATTTGAAGCTTTCGTGACTGCAGGAATCCATAATCTTGGGTTCTTTCGGTAAAGTCACGTAGGTAGAAAAAATAATAGATCGCAACGCAAGCAATCGTCATCAGGCGGATTACCTACGTGTAATGCTTAATATGCTTATGGAATCGAGTAAAAAAAACTAATTAGGATGAACACAAAATATATCACAACATTTCACCAACTTCAGACGATGATGTCTGCTGATGTTAATGTGGAGCAAGCAAGCAGGCCGACCTTGAAAATGGGCATTCTCTTGAAAAAATTATATCTTAAGTTTAAGAACATAAGAGGAAGCAGAATTATTTTGGCCATTTTCAGCAGCAGCAGCTCCCGATTGATGACAAATTTGTGAATCCTCTTTGGCATATCGCTCCGGCTATTTCAGAACCTACAGCATTCAGAATACCTTCAAATATAGTAGCAAATCATTCAGTCACGGCGGCTTTAACGTTGCTGTCAAAACGTATGTTTATGGAACGTTGACATCAATAAATATTGAACATACATGCTATTAGTGTAGGAGTTAAGACTCAGTTTGTGGACTGATTTCATTGTTAAACATTGATTTGGGGAGACGCAAATATCAATCGTGGGTTGCTTGTTTTCATCCCTTTCACAAATTAAACGTGTTGTCATAACGTATCGTGAATAATGTATGTGATACTTTCAGTAACAGATCTTGGTGACGTTTTACTTAGTTAATGAGCGTCATCCCAAAGAGTTTGTGCGCATGATTAACACTTGACAGGAGGTTGTAGTTGTATTCACTATTCAGATCACAGGCCACATCACAGGAATGATCGTGCTTCCACCACTGGCTGTCCACAAACCGTAGAGATGTCCAACACTCGATAGAAGGTGGGACGCTCAGTGGTTCTGTTGCCACTGACATTTACGGCTATTTTCAACTGGTCAGTAAGTTACATCATGGGACTTCCTTTGCCAGTACCAAAATATACTAATAGGGGTTTTCCCCTTTTTTCTGGCAACAAAACTGATACCTTTTGCAAGGAATCATGCTTACATTAACCACAATACTGGCAGTCAAATGCAAACAAAAAACAATACTCTGATAATTTATGCATTGTCTTTGAAACTGATTGGTCCACACCAGAGACAGCTTTCTTTGTAGCCTTATGAGACGAGGCTCTAAAGAAAGCTGTCTCTGGTGTGGACCAATCAGTTTCAAAGACAATGCATAAATTATCAGAGTATTGTTTTTTTTTTGCATTTGACTGCAAGTATTGTGGTTAATGTAAGCATGATTCCTTGCAAAAGGTATCAGTTTTGTTGCCAGAAAAAAAGGGAAAACCCCTATTAGTATGGTCAGTAAGTGTCCATTGCTTGGGATTCCATTCAACGCGGTCTGCTATTCTTCACACAAAGCAGCTCTCACACAGACAAGCCTGTGCAGAGGTCCTTGTCATCCGGTAAGCCCACCCAATATAGGGGTGTGAAACAACCGGATATCTCTCAATATGGTTAATTATTACTACGAAACGGCACACCGCTCAAAGCTGTAAATCCGACCTTAGTACTCTTGAACCCAAAAGCTATCAGTTAACCGTTAACCATCTGCTTCAAAGAGCTTTAAAATTTACTTCCTTGTGCCACAAGGCCCATTTCTCTATACGCTGTGAAGACGGACTTTACTGAAAGAAGCTATTTGGATAATATCGTCAAATTCACTCGAGGTGAGTCTCTTCAGTAATCACTCTATAGTTGATGTCGTAACGCGAGTAAATTATACTTCATATCGATAGCTATATTTGTATCGTATCTTTACACGTTTTCTTTTTGACGAAGGACTTGTTATCAACCTAAAAGCGCAACTCAACAGCAAGGGGTGGTAGTCGTGTGCTAGAATAGCTAACGGCGTTGGTTGGCTCAATGTACGTCGTGTATCAATCTTATACACTGAAATGCATTAATTTATTAACAATGTTACGTGTCTGTCACATTGCTAAATATATATTGTATGTATGTTTGTTGAAATTATTTCGCATTGTACGTAGCCAACCGTGCTAACTGGAGGTGCGGGGCAAGGACAATATTTGTTTAAATTTTTGGCATGACGTCTGCCGTCCAATATTGTTTTTAATCCCAGAACTACAACTGTCCGTAATCATCTATTTACAATATTATGCAACAATTATTTACGATCAGAAAACCCCTTCTACCCACATTTAGCTTTACCCACAATACCGTTTTTTTGTCATCGGGGTGCACGATTAATCCATTGTCCATGTACCGGATAACTCCCATTGTTCCACAAATTGGCGGATAAGAGAAGTGACAAGATATCCCTGTTATTGGTTGGATTTTTACTGTCAGGGCCTCATCTTGCGTAGTTGTGCAGTTCCCATTTACAAATAGCGCCCATTTCACCAATGGTGAAATTCCACATTCCTATGGCAGGTGCAATTTTATTTATATGTAAGTCAAGCAACCGTTGGTTTCCCATAAAGTGGTACTTATTTGGTCTTTTCTGGCTGGATGATGGACCTATTCAGCCCATCACATCGGGATTTGTGAGACAAGCGGTCTGTCACAGCACCAGCCTATCGATGTTGTTTTTGTTAGAAGAGGAATGTGTGATCGCTCATTACACATCGTCGTGCTGAAATAATGACGGATAACAACGAATTACATTCGTCGGAGTTAAGAGTCAAAATGGCCGCATACCACTGAAAAAATGACGACACTTCCCATGCATTTTGCTAGCATTGTACAAATTATAATCCTAATCATGGTCGACCAGAGGTTAGTGGGTGTAATAAAATGACGAAATTATATAAATATGTACAGTACATTCACTGTTTTACAATGTGACACAAATAAGAGGAATTAGGGTTAGGCCTAGAATTTAGGTTTGTGGTGAGAACATTCTGGAAGGTTGTGCGTAAGGCTAACTGCACACGGCGTGCCTTTGATAAACTTACATTTACAGGGGCACATTATGGTCAGTGTTAAATTTGGACTGAGGTGTTATTGGAATAGTAAACGAGTTATTACGTAGAACCTCAATATGCTGCCGTGTGTGGCAAGCCCAAACATTTTCCATGCTTTTATCCACACAGCGGAAATTACGTTGGAATAAAATAAGTGAAAGAAAAGCTTTCGTTTTCTTAACATATCAGTGGCTTTTGATACTAAGTCATCCTAGTAGTCTCAATTGGATCTTTCCTCGTTAATAACGGTCATCAATCAAGCCTTCTTCTTATCCATAATATTGCAAACACGCGATTAAAGATAAAAGGAGAGTATTGTTTTCTTCCTAATAACAGCAAAGCTCTCAAGTGTCACGCAATGAACATGACAGAAACTGTGCTGAACCTCACACATCTTGCGAGGTGTATTAATAATGATAATTGTTTTTTTACCCTTCTATCTGGCAACAAAACTGACACCTTTTTACAAGGAGTCATGTTGGCATAGACCGCAATACCTGCAGTCATAATACAAACAAAAGACATAACTCTGATAATGTGCACTGTCCTTGAAGTTGATTGGTCCACACCCGAGACAGCTTTCCTTAGAGCCTAGTCTCACATGGGTTGGACCAGATGACGCCAAAAGGCGCACAACTCAAGGTGTATTAATAGTTATGTAGTAAGCAACCAAAGCATAATACAGATTGCAAGCGTGGTAACAGCACACGCTTACCACAACAACCTGCTCTCCTCCCTGGTGACGTTTCAATCAGGTCTTAATTTGGGAAAAGAATCAGCATCGGCCCCATTCCCTTCCCCATCTTCCCACGCTCCAACCCGACAGCGGAGGTTGGGCGGGTGGAGGGGGCTAATACAAACACGGTAATACCCCGATTTACGTCGGGGATGCGTACCTGAAAGGTGCGATGACGAATTTTTAAACAACGTCAATAAAAGCGGTTTAGAGGGTAGGTGGAGGCGAAGGCGGAGTGAGAGGCGGCAGATACGAGAGAGTATGGTGGTGCTGTCAGCGACGTAAGTGTGGCTTGAGGTGAGGCAAATCGGGTAGCGGTGTTCATAATAAAGCGACGACACATTTGTGAAAGGACGTAAAAGGGGAAGACGTAACCTCTGGGCTGTCTTACACATTAGCGGTATCAACTTGAGAGCTCCGTTAAAGGATTCATATTGCACGATATTTGATCGTATCATTTGTCCATGTAACATATCCATTACCACGTCTCACAATATCAGATGAACTCGTATTGATATCAATGTGTACCGCATCATATGAGAACTGCATATTTAACCCGCCATCGGCTGTTTCTTATTCCACCATTGTAAATTAAGAAGATGGTGGCCCAAAAGGTGGTAAACCAGCTCACAAGGGCAGCCAGGTTCTGAGAGTCTAATCGTGGATATCTATCGAATCAGGGGGTTTCAGTCAGTCTACTTTGGCTCAATTCACTTTGAACAGTTTCATACAACGGTTAGTACTGCTTACTCTTTGGTTCCTTCGGTAAAGTCACGTAGGTAAAAATGAAACAAATCACGACGTTTCGATCGCAACACAAGCGACCGTCATCAGGCGGAACCGATACGGCAGGACAACTGCTGATTTAGGAGAAAGATCTGCTAACAACAAGAGCTTGTAGAGGGTTTCGGTGGGTTCAACCCCTGGGGTAAGTGGGCGGAGCTAGAGAAGGAAGAAAGGGGGGGGCACAGGTAATAGATGGAAGGTAGAGAGAAGCTGGGTTAGTGATGCTAATGTGCCTCCCCCCTTTCTCACAGCGCGGCAACCAACGCTGCAGCATCCTGTACCATTGGCATGCTAATTTTCTCACATTAGCATCACTAACCCAGCTTCTCTCTACCTTCCATCTATTACCTGTGCCCAACTCCCCTCTCCCTCCCTCCTTGCCTCCCCCTTGCTTCCTTCTCTAGCTCCGCACACTTACCCCAGGGGTTGAACCCACCAAAACCCTTTATAAGCTCTTGTTGTTAGTAGATCTTTCTCCTAAATCAGCAGTTGTCCTGCTGTATCGGTTCCGCCTGATGACGGTCGCTTGTGTTGCGATCGAAACGTCGTGATTTATTTTATTTTATACCTACGTGACTTTACCAAAAGAACAAAAGAGTATAGATTCCTGCAGTCGCAAAAGCTTCAAACCAGTTAGTACTGCAGTATGAAGCTCAAGTTTCTAGTTCATACGTGACTTTGCAGATGTGATTCAACATAAAACTACCCGGCTAGTTGATTATCTTGTGTTAACCTCCGGTCACTTTCTCACTGTATTTAAACTGCATCTTTGTAATTCTGTCATCGCTACTGCGCAGTCATTTCCCCAGAAACGTCATGCCTCGATACGTCCAACCAATGTCAAAGATGAATTTCAACAAACTTGCTGTTCCCTCTAATCCACATTGCAGGAGGGCACGTTTCTTTTCGCCATTCTCTTCTTGCACTGCTTGACTTTGAAACTCGCTTCCATGATCTCTCCTTCACTCAACTCCTATGATCTCCCTCAATTCCACAGTCCAATGCGTCAGTTCGTAACTGACGTGCTATTTACACAATAGCTCTTGGTTGCTGGCCACTTTGCATTATAGGCTGTCGGGCCTGCTCTCAGTGTCTGTGGTATGGAACAAGTAACTCATTGTGACGTGTGGTCACCTGGTGTTTTTATTGCTAAAAGGTGATGCCCTCTCTTCCCAGGTGTCTTTGGCTGACAAGTTGCAAAGACGCTGGTGGGACCATCCCAAACAAAATGGCACTCCGCCCGTTGGTCCTCTGTCTTCTATTTTCTTTAATGCTCTGGGCAGGTGAACTACGCATTCACGCAAGCACCCGATGCTCCGTTTTGAAGTTTTAAAATGAAACATCTTTGAATTGTATTATGTTTTCAATTAGATTATTTCATTTCTCCATTCAAAGCTTATATCATGTTACATCTGGAAGACTTAATTTAAAACGACATTTTGTGTGAATTTTCTCTCGTCGTTAAGTAGATGGCCTTGCTTGGGGTTCGGTTCGATGCGGACTTTTACCTGTTTGGGATTGCGGGATCGAGATAAGGGGACACGAAGCTGCTGGCCGTGCGAGAAGATTGCCGTCTGCAGATCGATTCCCACGTAATCGGACGCCTGTCCCTGCGACTCCGTCGTTCATGCAGGGGGCGCGTAGGTTTGCAGCGCCCCCTGCATGAAAACGACGGAAAGTGCAGCGTTCATCACAGATGGATAAAGTTGTGCGCTTATATAAGAGCATGAATGTTTAGTTTCAAATAAACAAATTCTAATTTTATTTTTTGTTTTTCAGAAAATACGGATGCAGGTAAGACTCCTCTTTGTTACAACAAAATAAACGTGTAGATAAAAAGTTAAGTGTTAATCCTTTACCACGATCGTGTGATTTTGATTGGTTCGCGATACTGCTGTTACTCAATTATCATTGCTGTGTTCTGTAAATTCTTGCTCGATTGTAAAATGCATTCTTACGTGATGTTAACTCTGCTGTTTTTGTATTTCTCCATCAGCTCCCTGCGATTTTAACTATTCCAACTACTTCAAGGATATTTAATGCAGAAGTCACTGAAAATTCAACAAACGATTTAGCATTTTTCAACATATCTGTTGAAGGAAATATATCAGAAATTGTTTTAACCTTGATACCCAAATACTATTTTCAAATTGCAAGATAAACAGCTGCTAGTGGCTAATCAAACAGCCTTGGACAGAGAGGTAATCACAGTCACAAACATTACTGCAGCTTAAAATCTGTTAATGCACATGCACCAAACCGCTTTAGAATACTGCCGGTCTCCAAGCATTTGCGTCGCTACAGGTCGACCGTATCGCGGGATCCTATAATATGCGGCGCACAATGGAGGTTAGACTGGAAATCCGCAACAACTTTTCCACATCTTCACACCTGTGCGATGTGCCACGGATTTCTGGTGGAAAGAGCCGCACGATCCCATTAATTCGCAAAATAAATTACGAATTATAAGGGAAGTACAGCATTTACTTGTAGCCCCATTAATCCATGATAAATATCAGGATTACAGGAGACAATTGTTATTCTAATACCCCAATGGAGCGGCGACCCCACGGTTCACAGCAATTCCCATAATGCACCAGGAGGAAACCCCTAGACTCAATGAATTTATACGGATTTTGTATTTGTTTTGGAGGGTGGCTCAAAACTTTCATCCACATTAAAGTCGCAGTTTAAAGAGGCTAATTCCTCCTAAAATTCGTGAGACACTACCTTCGGAATTATTTATATTTTTAGCGCAACAAGGCAAACTAATTTTCAGTAGATTATCGGAGTGGCACGGCTAAAATCTCATGAAAATATGCAAAGTTTTACATAGGATTTTTGGAGTAACATTGCGGTACATAGCAGCTTACAGGCTTGAAGAATCCCACCCACCCAACTCACAGAGGATTAATGGTTTATATTGTAATCATTGGTAACTATGCTTAGACCATCAACTCACTGCACACGTGGCTAGCTGGCTTAAAATCCTGAATTTAAGTGGTGCAAGCTGAGCTGAAGAAGAAGACTGTGACATTGGAGGCACCCAGCCACCTGAACAATTAATATTATTTTAAATTACATTGTTTAACTTAATACATCGGTTGCATTAAACTGCTATTTCTCTTTTTGTACTATTAAAACAGACACTGGGAGAGACTGCTATTCTCACGTTGACATGCGAATTTGATGGATTAATATATCGGGTAAGATATTTTACATACCTACATCACAGATGAACAATATATGTAGTGATCACAGTTGTAATGTCTGCAGTGCTGAATCAAGGGCACCACATGCCCAGTCACTACATTGCAAAGGACCTTTTGTTTGACCGACTAGAGGGGCCAACATTAGCGCTGCACGGTTTTGGAGCTGGATTGACTTGCCAATGATAGGTGCCAGTGGTGTCAAGATTACCTTCTGGAGAGAGGGCTCATGAAAAATGCTACAGGCCAAGAAGGGCAGAGGAGGGACTACTCACAACGACTAAAGTGTCGATCCACTAAAGCAGAGTAAGATGACATACCCGGTAATGCAGTGTTTGCATCTGCTGTCATCTCAGTCAATTGACTTGTAACACCTGGGCCTATCCTGTGACCTGCCAGCGTGGCCTCACTTTACAGTGGCCTCATAGTCAGTGCCGGACTAAGCTAGTGCGGAGTCTGTAGCATGTATTATAAAGGGGCCCGAAATAAATAAAAAACACGTAAATATTAAAACACAAATTTTTAAGTTGCATAGTAAAGTTATTTGTATTTTTTCATTTGCTATACAGCCAGATAATACGACAAATCGCTAACCTCAAACACCCAGTCGTTCATAAAAGTTGAAGGCGGTATAGTACTATAGTAATAGAGCAAGTGCAGAATCTCTGAACCGGAATTGATAGCTTGAAAGCATTTAGTGTGGGGCCCTTGAAAGTGCGGGGCCCGGAGCATATGCAGCTACTTGTGCTACTAGGATCATCCGGCACTGCTCAAAGTGCACTTAGCCAGGCACAAGAGCTGTAGTAATGTCGGTGGTGTGCAGTTTTAGGATGCGGTGGATTAGTGGTTAGCGCACAGAGACTATGAATACCTGTTACCTGAGTTCGATTCCTACCCATGGTTAACATCAGTGGCTTGGGCGCTGGTTTTTAATAGGCCTTGAAAACCACTTTCGAAGACGGGATAGGAGATGAGTCGTTGTAAAGAATGAGATATTTGAGGCAGGAGTGCTCGGGCTAGACCTGAATGAAGTATCTCAAAAAAGAGTTGTAGGCATTTTAGGATATATTTCTGACACAGATGCTAGGAAATAATTGACAAGACAGTATATGTAATGAAGGGAACATGGCAGTTAAGTATTATAGATATAATCAGGCAAGTTAGTTTTTGCTGGGTTAGGAAATTTGTGTAGGATGGATGGGAGCTGGTGAACGAGATAACATTTGGAATGAGGTTGGCGACCAAGCGGAAGACCTAAGACCAGATGGCAACTATATTTATGAAGATCCTATCATTTTGAAATATAGATGACATTTAAGTTAACTAGAAAGCTGATAATAACAATATCAATGACTACACTCTAAATCCCAATGAAGTGAAGAACTTTGAGGGGAGTGAATCATAATCATTACAGAGCAATACAATCAGGCGACAAAATAGATTTTCAAATTTTAAGTTACGGGGAAAGCCTGTACAAACAGGTGAGTTTTAAGACGCGATTTAAAAAGTGAAACAGACTCGGAATCCCTCATGGATCGAGGAAGGAGATTCCACAATCGCGAGGCTGGCTGCAGAAGGCTCGATTTTCCTTTTGATCTTGATACTCGTAGATTAATCACTTTAAAATGAGCACACTGATAGCCATTGTATTTGTATAGCATCTAAAGCAACATTACTGAGAAAATATAACACATTATATGATACTGCATTGGTAGGGGTGCATAAGCACAAATAACAAAACACTCAACACATTTGCCAGAAACACTGTGGCCTTAATATGTTAAATATATAACAGGTGGCGTTTTGGGCAATGACCTTCTTGAGATATGTTTGCTTTTAAGGCAGTGTTTGACGAATGCGTTCGCGTTTTCTGAGCCCATATAAGATGTTCAAAATTGTGGCCAGGATACCTTGAAGATTCATACATGTATTATAATGCCCATTTTGAAGCTTCCATGAAGCCAAATTCAATCACTTTCCCTTTATGTTTTATACCTTTGTTTTACTGTATATTGATCTTTACATTTTGCTCTCTTACAAAACTGGGAGCTCAGAAAATAATTATTAAAATCAGAATATGTTGAGTGTGTCTTCAGTGTAACATACTTTAGCTGTTGAGAAAATAGTTTTTTTTTTAAGAAAAATGTAACAATCATTTGTTGTTATACAAGTTATTGTTGATCAATCTTGTTTCCTCAAAAATACTAATTGTCTACTTTGACACTTTCAGGCTAGTATTGCAGTAAAAATTCTCGATGTCAATGAATTTGACCCAGAATTTCAAGGTACTCCTTACATGTGGCATATCTCCGAGGTAAGTACAAGACGTAGTCTCACTCTTTGATCAGAAAATACTCATTAAAATGTAAAAAAAGTTCAAACAAATTTGTGCACTATGAGAGCAGCGGTGTTACTTGAGATACTTTGCAAAGTTCAATTAAAAAGAGCCATTTCCCAAAAAACACATTCTCCATTTCACAAAGAAGCACAGCTCATTGTCACAAATAGAGCCCGTCATGGTTCAGTATCTGTATTTATAATCAGGGAATAGTTAGCTATACTGTATATGTAGTGCTGAACTTTACGTGGACAACTTCTTCATTTTCTGTCGTCACTTTATTTTCATCAAACTCCGCACATTTCACCACCAAGACACCAGGACTGTCTCTCTCGTCTCCGTTCCACTGCTAGCCTATACTTTTTCTCCTGCTCCGCTGCTAGCCTATTCTATCTCACATCTCTTCTTCTTCAAGTTCCGCTCCATCTCCGTCCAGCTCCCAGCACAACTCCCCATCTCACTCTGACGCTCCCCTATTTATCCCCCTCCTCATTAATTACCAATTAATTAACCAGCCCCCCCCGCCGCCACCTGCTCCGAACCCAGACTTACTGGCGCCACTTTGGCCTTGACAACAACAACCGGCCAATCACTGCCCTGCATCCCATAATTACCTAACGAGCCGTCTCTCTCCGGCCGTTGCCCCCCAGCAGCACCTGCTTGTCCTAATACGACCCCACTGTCCATTACCCACACGTGTTTACAATTTCCCCCCCACTGGCGCGCGTTAATCCACTACATATATAAGGGAAATTTGTAGATATGAGTGTTCGAAATGTTTAGCATACTTCTCAACATGCTACAAACTTGAAATTTGGTATGTGGGTAGCTCCCATACTGTACTGACGTCATGAAATTTGCACCGCTTATGCTGTCTGGAATTTATAGGTGAACGCGACTATATAATCAATATTCGTTCATTGAATAAACTTAAAACTAGGACTAAACTATCAATTTCCGTGCGAAGAACTGGTACAACTGCTAGTATTTATATTGGTAAACCTAAAATGACAATAATATCTATAATTCTTTGACAACGCTAAATCGTATACTTTTATATACAGGGTGATCCAAAAGTCAGGACACATTGAGTTATTTTATTTACTTTAACACTGGCATTGAAACATTTTAATTGTTACTTTTTTTACTTTGATATTTAATCTATTTTCGTTATTAAGGGTTAGGGTCACTTCAAAATCCCATCGTTTACAAAACTGGACCGAGAACCCTGAATTAATTGAGACAAAACATAAATTTGCCAGAATAGTGCTGGATGTAATTACCAGAGAAACGTCGTACTAAAATTATAAATGTTGTGGATTTACTCTCCAACACACCGATGAGCTGAAGTAGTATACTACACTATGCACTACATTACACACGACACTACACTAGTAACTAATTGGCACGTTTTGTTTACGTGACAAATCTTACTGGCTGTGTCGGGTGGTGGAGGGTTACGACACATTTATATAGTAGTAGGTTTTTACCCTTTAAACTGGTACAAAACTGACACCTTTATACAAGGCATCATGTTTGCAATAACTGCAACACAAGCAAAGGTGTCAGTTTTGTACCAGTTTAAAGGGTAAAAACCTACTACTATATTTTGCCACTGGTAAAGGAGGTCTCATAGTGACACATTTATACTTACGCGATCTAACCCAAAAAAACCTTCATTATGAATAATATTAGTCGCGAAAACTTACGTGTTAACCTGGTTGAGAATAGTTTAAAGTAAAAACTGTGTAAAACTCATTGGGCACGATACACCTGGCTGAAATGACCAATATCATATGAGTGAAACCTCTCACACCATATTCTTATAGTTTTCTTCAGTGCCAACGACGTTTCCTGTACCAGCAATGGACGGGGATATTTCAAGTCGTATCACATACACCTTGGATCAATCAGTGGTAAGGCGATAAGGCAATAATATATTACCAACATTCAAAATTTAAATGTATGACACTTGTAGTACATAACTCTGTGTTCGAGACAACAGAACATTAAACCGCTCAACCTGCAACACCAATTCATCCACCATACTTCATTTTACAAGACCACAATCATTCCAATACGGGTTTTCCTCCCCTTTATGTGGGTTCTGTTTGTGTGATATTTCTACCCGAAATTAGCTATATGCGGTTTGAATTCACTCGGTCGGACGTGGAACAACATTATATGTACTCTATGCGCCATCTTGAGCAATGCATTTTAAGTTGTGCGATTTCACTTTGTGTGCCTTGTTTTTGAAACGCATCTACCAGGTAAAGCGAGGGAAACCTATACATGGGATAATCTTACTCTTTGTTTGTTTCGGTAAAGTTACGTAGGTAAAACAATAAATAAAATAAAATAAATGAAAACAACTAAATTAAATCACGACGTTTCGGACGCAACACAAGCTTCCTTCATCAGGTGTTAAAAACGCACGGCAAAATAACTGTAGCGAGAGTTATTTGTGATGAGACGTTGTTATATAGGGTAAGAGGAGGGGGAGGAGCCAAGGAGGACGGGCTCCACCCCCCCCCATCCTGCTGTGCCTTTTTTACACCTGATGAAGGAAGCTTGTGTTGCCTCCGAAACGTCGTGCGACGTAAGTGTGGACTGAAGTGACCCTGATGTCACGCTAACTCTGCAACGCGATCATTAATAATCATGAGTGGTTGACGTCACTGCCTCTCCCCCCCTCATGGGTGACGTCACCCCACATGGCACACCCCCCTCATTAATAAGCGGGTGACGTCATTCCACCTGGAGCACCCACCCTAATTAATAATCCGCCATTGCCGATCATTGCTACAACGCTGTGGGCTCTCATGATATTGTCTTTTCCGAGACCAAGGTGCTCTGCAAACCTTCTGGCTACCATGAAAGGTTTGTACACGAAGCCATCCAGATATACAAACACAGACGTAACTTCAACCGTGATGATGGGTACAAACTGAGTAATCATTGGAAAGATGTTATTAACCATGCAAATAAGATTTAACTACACATATTTGGACCATCTTATTTGACAGGTACTATTCTACTTTACCAAGTGTTGACATCCCCAGCGTTTAACAGTACTCTTTTTTTATATTTGGATTGTCAACCAACACCGGGTAAAAGAACAACATGTGCACCTATTGTTCTCTTTTAGCCCTGCCCACCCCCCAACATGTTCCATTCATTGGCTACCACATTCAGTTAAGCCCCTCCCCCGTCCTCCCCCCTTAACTTGTATTTAAGAGCTTGTCTCTTGGAATTTTGCCTCACTTGATACAGTAAATCTAGTTGTGACGGTCCCACCTGATGACAGAGACTTGTGTTGCCTCCGAAACGTCGTGATTTATAATTTTATTTCTATTATTACTTCTATTATTTTTATTTTATTATTGATTTTTACCTACGTGACTTTACCGAAAAAACCTAAGAGTATGAATCCTTGCAGTCACGAAAGCTTCAAATCTAGAACTAATAATCACGAGCTGGTGACGTCACTCCATATGGATCACCCCCTCATTAATAATCATGAGCGGAACATTACTTTAGATTGAATATTTCAGATTTACTGCAATCAACCCGTCCTTGGACGGGCTATAGGCTAGTTATTATTAGTAAAGCGATGGCATTTTTGCGAAAACGACGTAAAAATAGGGGGGAGACGTAAATCAGAGGTATTACTGAACATGCATTTGCTGTGGCGATCACATTGGCCCCACGTGTCTAAAATTGGCATCGCTCAGCTAATCGGGGGGGTATCCGAAACGGCATCGGCGTGGCAGCTGCTCTACCAATGTGTGGACTAGCACGTGGACTGGGGAACGGAATTAGCAGAAACGCGCATACATTAATCAAGGGGCATTCCATCCAGCACTTTTGGAGCACTTAGTCCAGCTGAGGACTGTTGAAGCAACAGGGTGTGTTTGGAAACAAGGGTTTAACTTCAGAGGTCAGATTGACGTTATCTGTTTGCAGTTCATATCTGATCACGTTCACTGTCTTTCATTCCACAGCCTGGCGCCTGAATATTTCAATGTTACATTGCCCTTCAGGGGAGAAATTTCCCTCTTCAAAGCATTGAAGTATGAAGTGCTCGATGCACTTAATCTGACGACCATTCAACTCATTGTGTATGCTACGGTAAGAAAGTCCCTTGAATAAAATGTATACAAAAAAGTTTAGTAGATTTTATATTTTCATGAAACTTATTTCACTAATATGGAATAATGCTTGTTTATTTATTTCCTCACTGAGGTACCCAGCGTTGCCCGGGATAAATTAGTGGATGCCAACATTAAGGGGCAGAAGCTAAATTGAGGAAAGGAAATATGATTAAGTCTTAGAAATATTGCATGAAGTTACTTTCTAAAATGTATTATCTGGCCATTCAAATGTATTTGACGTTATTGCAGGGCCTGTGGGTAAACCGCATTTGTGGTTTTTCCATTGGGCGCAAGTATGAAAAGGTTCCTGCTTGCACCAACCCTGGAGCGTGTTGTGTAACTGCCCATGGGAGAAACCTAAAGTTAGCAGGTCAACTCGTGCAACTTGCAGCGATTGGCCTTGTGCCTTGTTAATGGACATTGCAAAAGACAGCCGGACAGGAAACTGGAGTCGTTTTAACTCATAAGGGACATCATTTGTAATGAGTGTTAGGTGAGGAATAATGACATTTTCTTTTTTGGCACACCCTGTCATTAGTTTCCTCAATGACACGAGGAAGTCGATTTTTCACACAGAGCCAAGTCCCGTTGCAGCGCCTTGGAGGATCCAGATTCCTTGGCAGCATGATAGGGGAACCTTTCTTTAGGACTCGTTTGATGGAAAACTTTGTCCTCCAGTTCATTTCTATCTTGTGGCTTTTGATCAGGCAGGAACTCTGATATTATTTCAGGCCAATATGGATTGCATGTGAAGATTATGAACAGATCTGGAGTGGCATAGTTTCTGAAATTTGTCGTGGCATCTTGGGTCCTCTCTTTCATGTATCTGGGACCACTAGTAAAGGAGGATGGGTTGAGGATGAGTTGTCCAATGTTGTCTGGATTTCTATAATTGGCAATGGCATCTCTCAAGTGTTCATGAATCTCCAACCTCAGTTTGTTCTGGTAAAATTTGAAATACAGTAAAACCTTGGATTGCGAGCATAATTCGTTCCGGAAACTGTGCTTGTAATCCAAAGCACTCGTATATCAAAGCACTCGTGTATCAGTTGTGATCACGTGACGCTCTGCAGACAAAGCGTAAACACGTACTACTCGTAGTGCAAGACCTCGCTCGTTTATCAAATTAATATTCATTTAAAAAATTTGCTCGTCTTGCAAAACACTCGCAGACCAAGTTACTCTCAATCCAAGGTTTTACTGTATAGAAGTCTCTTGCTTTCATTTGTTGCGTACATATCAATGACAAACTGGTGAAAGAGAGGTCCACATCTAAGCAAACGGGTTGACTCTTGTCCTCTTACCATCAGTCGAAAGGCATAACATTTCACGGCAGTAACCTTGTGGCCTTCAATTTCCTGGAAGTGGTAGCCATCCTCCCCCAAGGGAAACAGAAGATATTGCAGAGGATCAAAGACTCTGTCACTCTCTGCAATTCTTTGGAAAGGAATATGCACCTGCAAGAGTTCTCTTATGCATAACAATATCCCTATTCTGGAATTCATTGCCAACTATGAGAATTGCAACCTCATTTGTAGTCGGGACATTAAACCGGCGCTCATGCACACCTGTCTGCTCTGATGACAACTTTCTGGTCATGTTTTCAATGGCTGTTTTGAACAGCTTGACATAGGCATTATTTTTATGTAATATGTCCTGTAGAGCCATGACCATATCAAAAATTTAGGTCTGGAATATTGCTCTGTCACAGCTTTGCCTGTTCCTCTGTGTTTCCCATGCAGTAAATTTGCAGGAAGTTGTACTGCTCATTGAGAAGATGCAGAACAAAGCCAATGTTGTGGTAGACCTGACCTTGAACCTTGAATTGTCTGTACATGTGTTTCAGTGTCAATGTGGTCTGCCCCAAAAGGATGTCATTTGGAAAGCAGAGTTGTATTTTCTGAGATTTATAAGAAACTGCTGAGAATTGGAGTGAGTGCCCAACACCAATAGCTTGGGTGGCTCTGGAGAATCGGGCAGTGTAGGGTAGTGTTACCTTGCCGTCTCTGCAGGGCGTGTCTTATGTCTTCCCCTTCCAGTTTTTGCCTCCAAATGTGGTGCAGAGTATTATGATTCCTCATATACTGACCAAGGCATGTGCGTCGTACTAAATGCCTGGGTCATAGAGGAATGCTGCCTCTTTCAACTGCTGCCAAATTCTGATTCTAGAGGCTGCCTGTCTTGTCCTCTTATCTTCCAGACGTGACTGTGTTACCTGAAGGTTTTCAGCCGCCTTGAAAGTGGAGGCTCTTGTCCTCATGTCTTCCAGACGTGTCTCTCTGGCTTCAGGTGTCTCAGCTGTCCTATACGTTGAGGCTCTTGTCCTGTCAGCATTTTTACGAGTTTATGTGACTTTATGCGTGTCAGCTGCCCTGGAATTCGAGGCTCTTGTTCTAAGACCTTCACGATGTGCCCGTGTTGCTGCTCTATACGTTGAAGCTCTTGCCATCTCAGCATCCAGACGTGACTGCCTAGCTGATGGGGTTTCAGTGGCTCTGGTGTCTTTCTTCAACTCGATTCCTGCCTCCTTCTTTCCTGTGAGGAGGCGCTAGGCCCCAATCTCTGATGTTTTTTGGGACCCATATTGTCTGTTGAATTGCTCCTTTAAAAAGGATGAAGTGATATTGTACGAAGTTTTTGCCCTTGAAAAAGGACCAGGTTTTTCTGTCAGTATTGTTTAGTATAGTTTGTTTGTTGTTTACCACTTAAACTTTTGTGCAGTTATTTATATTATGCAGTTATTTATGTTATGCAGTTAGTTCTCTCATTGTGGAATGCATCAACTTGTGGGCAGTTAGTTCTGTTCTGCAGTTGGCAATGCCTTATGGATCATCATCATTGAGACTGTGTGTTCCTCCTGATTACCCTGTAGAGAATGCAACCACACTGAGACACAATGCATAGCAAGTTTTACTCCCTTGAATCAGTTGTGAGCATTGTGCGGCATTGAATAACCATTGTTGCATCCAGGGACCTTCCGGGGATGTTTGGGTTGCGGGCTAACAGCACGGTGATCTTACTATTGTTGTCCCTAACCACCCCAACAATTTCAGCTTCAAAACCCACAGAGTTGGCCTTGCAGTCCTTCTCTGGGACCACAGAGACCACCAACCAGAAAATGGAGAGCACTTTTTGCCAAACCTCTTTGTTTGTATGCAATTTCGGAATATCTGGACTTGTTGGGTACTTGTGTGTAGGCAGGGCAAAGAACCTCCCCGATCCGCTCCATGGATCTTGACTGGAAATCAGACACCACTTTTCTTATGAAACCAAGGATGCCCGAACAACTTTGCCCTCGTAAAGCTTTTTTTAATGTATATCTGGACGCCTTGGGCTACTGTGTTTAGTTGGCGGGACAGAAAACAACCCATATGATCCACCCCCTGGACCCAGAGCAGACCCTGACCTGCCCTAAGACCTGAAGACGGTCATCCTTGACCATCCTGCGAAGGTTGCAACCGAAAAAATTCCCAACCCACAGAGGGGGGGCCCTGCAGACCTTACAGTTTTGACCAAGTAACACGAGAGGTCGCCGACCAAAATCAAACGTTTCAAACTGGGTTCTGGAACCCCCTGGAACCTCCAATCTGTTGTCCACACATTTTTAGGTGCCCGTGAACACCCATTTAGAAACCTGGTTGGGCGGCCGGAGGGGGGGGGGGGGCTATACTAGCCTAAGACCTGAAGGTAAAAATCCTGGTTCACCCTACAAAGGATTCATGTCTCTCTATCTTCAAAACTGTGAATGCATCCTGGCAAGCAAATATACAGACACACACACACATCCTCATTCATTTATATAGATGTATTCCTTGCTGAAATATTTCAGCAGGAAAAAGCCTGAAGATGTAACATCTCGTTTGCAAGGATGTCCAGGGTATCAGTTGCCACGTCACAAACACGTACAGGAATCTCTAACTTATACAGTACACTTTCATACATTGAGAGTCACATCCAATCAAACACGTAATAAATGCATACATAATTATATGTATCACACTGCCAATTCATTCAGAATGTATTCGAGCTGTAACATTCACACATGGTGTGGGAGTGTGCCTTAATGATCGCTTTTAATAAATTGAGACCGCTGCCATATTGTAGTGTGACTGGGACATCATTCCATGCTAAATCAGCTCTGTATCTGAATCAGGAGTGTGTCTGTGTGGATTTATTTTACTCTTAGATGCAGTTACATTGTTACAACTTTGGAACAAAATAACATAATTATTGTGGGGATGAACTACAATGTGTGGTTTTGACAGACAGCTATGTGGAACCGTTCTTATTTAACAGCTCAATGTTTTCTGACTGAAGAGTGTGTACAACTGTGATGCTGGTTAGAATCACCAGCGAAACGTCACAGTACTTGGAATTGGGTTTACTCTCCAACTTACCATTGTGTTGTACTAGTAACCAATTGGCACGTTTTATTAACGTGACAATCCTCACTAATTGGCTGCGTCGGGTGGTGGCGGGTCAACGACACAATAAAAAAACCTTTATGATGAACTGTGACGTGTTCAGATTGTCTTCGAGAAATATAAAAAAAACAATTATGTTAATTTCAGTCGGGACATTTGGGCAAACGCAAAACACCGTACAACTAAATCACACGCACTGCAACGTCAAGACGCCGGCCTGAAGTGAGAGCAACTGAACACGGCCTGTTATCAAACGTGTTTACAGACCCTTCGTGTGAACCTTCACAAATTGGGCTCTTTCGTTTCAGGACTCCAACCCGAGTGGAAACGCCACAGGCTACCCGATTAGGACGGGCACCGCCACAGTCACCGTCTCCGTGATAGATCAAGATGATCAGCCACCAATCTTCCTGCCGAAGGTCTGCTCCACAGTGGCTAGCGGCACACAGCTGTGCGTGAACGCAAAGTACTCAGCAACGGTCAGAGAGAACAAGACTGAGGTGGTGAGTTGGCCCTTAACGCTCCCAAGGTGCAATTACATTTACCAGGTTACAATGGAAAGTGAGGTTATTTAAATTGGCTATATGTGCACATTGCATATTCTATAAGACATGTTTGGGGGCCGTCCATAAATGACGTCACGCACCTGGGGGGGGGGGGGGGTTAGACATTTGTGACGATGTGTGACGAGGGGGGGGGGGGTGAGAAATCTGACGTCACATCAAAATGCGCAACTTTAAATAAATATAGACAACACGTTCTACTTAATTAAATAGACTTTTTAATAAATGTTTTCTCCTACAACATTAGAGTGCAGCACCACATTAAATATGCACTACAATGACAATAGTTTATAGCGATTTGAAGCATGTTTTATATTTTTTTTGGGGGGGGGGCAGAGCTTTGTGACGTCATATTTGAGGGGGGGGTCTGACTTTTTGTGACGCCGTGTGACATAGGCGGTGGGGGGGGGGTCAAAAATCGTCCAAAATCGCGGGACGTCATTTATGGACGGCCCCTTTGGCGAAGTCTATGAATTAAATGTACAGCTGCGTGATCGACCGTTTTAGTTTCAATGCAAGAGCCTCCCCTTAATATTAACAGAATGGCAATAGAATGTTTTGGCCACTTTCCAGTGTCATGGCTTAGAAACGATACAATGTACGAAGGTGTCAAAGGCAAAACATAATCATAAACATATGTGAGACAATATGAGCAGATACACGTAAATCAATTAATATTACCACAACATTGAAACGTGTCCTGAGGTATTGAAGTGCCTTTCCATTGAATTGCATTCTTCAGCACGAGTGGTGATTAAATGGCATTTTCCTGGTAAACAAGAGCCTTGAGGTGACGCTAATAAATAGTAATCTGCCAAGTTGAGATCAGATTACGGGCGTGTTGAACTGTTTCCCAGCTGCGACACCGCAAAGTGGTCAAAGGTAATTTCATGGCTGCCCTGCATACGTGGAAGTGGGCAACTTAGTATAGAAGTACAATTCCACTGTGTATCTTCAGAGTTTTCACAGAGTCACTGAGGTCTCTTTCAGTGGCGGCTCCTGCAAAATCTCTCAGGGGGGGCAAATGTCTGGATGATTGATAAGGATAAGGTCCACCCATGCAATGAATAAATTAACAGCTTAAGCATGTAAAGGCAACTTCACTTCTTTAATATTAATGAAAAATCAAGTGACTCTTACAATACATCTTGTTTGTTTATATACTCACTATTAAAACAAACCACTCAAGTTTATTTTATTAAAGATTCCACTAGGTAGCGATAAATAATATTGTTGGATGAAACGTGCTTATGTATGATGACGTTAGCACGTATGATGACGTAAGCACGTTAGTGCATGCCCTCCCGGAAGCCATAGAGAATGCATTGGAGCGCCCCCGTTCGAAAAAAAACATCTTTCAATGTAAGTCTATGGGGCCACTCGGGGCGATTCTCAGCCGGAGTGAAATCGCCCAAAAAGAGGCGGTACTCCACATAACGTGACATGACGCTGATTGGACTATATCCAGAGGCTGCAGTGACGGCTAGCGTGACTCTGTGGTTGAATGACATTGGTGGTGCGTCGCCCAATCGCCCTAATGAAGAAACCGCCCCTGGTCTCTTTACATCTAGGAAAATCTTGTCTTTGCCCCTGCAAAAATCCGTGCGGAAGATGGCGATAAGGGAATCAACGCTATCATAAAGTACACGCTTCTGTCTGGTAAGTGCTCTCCTGAAACATCACGTCCAATTTGGATTGCACAATGCAATCAGATCACAAAGATGAATCATCGCGTTTTACACCTGTGTTACTTATTTTATAGAGTGTATCACGACCGTTAAAAAGTTCAAACATTTGCAGGTGAAATAGTCTTAACTGACTGTGATGTTTCCATCCTACCTGCCTATGTCTGCTGCTATTTACGACTCACTGTCTCTCTCTTTGGATTGCACTTTCATGGTGCTAATCTCTCATTGACACTGCTGTTGTGCGCATATGCGGGCATGATACTCTTATGCGGCGACAGAAGCTCATTCATGCTAATCTCCCTCCCTAATCCCTCTCTCCCTAATCTCCCCCATTAACAAAACTGACGTGCTTGTGGCCGTCGGTGGAATTCCTTTCCAGCTCAGACCCCGCTTGCTTGCCCATCGCCACATATATAACCTTGTTGTAGCTGCTCTCTCACTAGTTCAGCAGTTCCACTGCTGGATTATATTTTTTCCACCTGAGGACGACCGCTTGTGTTGCGATCGAAACGTCGTGATTAATTTTATTTTATACCTACGTGACTTTACCGAAAGAACCAAAGAGTATGAAAGAGCTGTCTTCAGTGTAGTGGTGCTGTAATTTACCAAAGCATTCGGTAGACTCGGTAAAAAATAACTCTGACAGCGCTGAAGTCAAAGTCAACTATATTTTGTTGACATTTAAAAACGTTGCACAACTGTGTATCATGATGCAGGTTCTGCCATATTTTGTTACTCGCGAGAAATGCTCAGGTGTGTTTAACCCCTTATTTGCCAGTCTCCCTCACTACTCCACAACCAAACCCGGCAGCAGTGTCACATGGCAAATATCCCCCCTCGAATCTCTCACTTCTCAAAGCTCCACAAACCCATCCACGTGCTCACCTGACTTTAGTCCTCCCAAGCACATGACGTAGAAATTGGACCCTTTGTAAGACATCAAACTCTCATTGGGCCATATCCACCATCTCCTCCCTGTCTCCTAGACCAGGGGTCGGCAAACTTTCGAAGTAGAAGAGCCATTTTTTTTTGTCTGACCAAACTAGTTCGAGAGCCGAATCACACGCAGAGCTACTTGTACACAAACACGGCGGGTATACGGCAGATGGCAACACGCATTCTGACTTAAGCAAAATCGGTGATAGAATGAATGTCTATTTAGTTGTTTGCCCCTTAGTTATTATTTAACAATACAGTTTGACCGTGGTACATTACTGTTGTCGCCAAGACATTCCATAGTGCCATATTTCAGAAATTTTCTTGACGTTAAATTATGTTTTAAGATTTAAAGCAAATGTGTATAAACGGCTTCCCGCAATGGGGCAGCCAAAGAGCCACCGCATGGGGCTCCGTTGCCGCTAGTTGCTGACCCCCTGTCCTAAATCAATAGAACACAGAAACGCGCCCCTCCTGTGAAGACCTCATCGGGGCTTTTGAACTGTGATCACATTTGAACACCGTGCGAATCCAAACTGGATGTCTGGCCATCTTAAGTTAGCTTCGTTTTCTTGGGTTTTTTCGGTAAAGTCACGTAGGTAAAAAATTAAAATTAAGATTTATAAAAGTAAAATAAAAATAAAATAATAATTTAAATGTTATTTTTTTATCTACGTGACTTTACCGAAAAAACCCAAGAATATGAATCCTTGCAGTCACGAAAGCTTCAAATCTCGAATTAGCTTCGTTTGCTTTTGATTTGCACGAAATGCTCAAATGTGTGTCCGTATGTCATTGTACGTGCAAATGGTGAGGAGTGGTAGTGTAGCGGTTAGCGTGCTCATCGACCAACATCAGTTACGATTATCTGCACAGGTCCTGGGCCTCCCTTAGGTCAGCTCGGCCTCAAATGAGTACTTGGTGTTGTGTGTAAACTTGGCCACTGGGGAGACAACGCAGCCGGGCGTGGTGCTGGCCACACTGCTAGCCTTCAGAGAATTTTCCCAAGATTTTGTTTAAGGCTGTATGTGGGATATTTTTTTATTTAAAGCTTTCGTGACTGCAGGGATTCATATTCTCGGTTCTTTCGGTAAAGTCACGTAGAAGGGAAATAATAAAATAATAATAAAATATGAAACAAAACAAAATTCTCACGACGTTTTGACACACCTGATGATGATTGCTTGTGTTGCAGTCGAAACGTCGTGATAATTTTTATTGTTTTATAGTTTTACTATTTTATTATTTCCCTTCTACGTGACTTTACCGAAAGAACCAAGAATATGTGGGATATTTGTTAAGTTTGTGTATGTTCCAGCACTGCATGGTTCGACTTTGATATCTGTTTCTGATTAAGTTGAAAAAGTGAGCTCGCTGCATTGGCACTTATCTCTATATACTAACCTTGCGATGTTGTGTTTTTAGAAAATGAGTTCTTTGAAATCAATGCAAGCAATGGACAAATAAGCATGAAAAAAGCAGTGCCGAGCAAGACTGAGACACCTGAAATTAATTTGCAGATTGTGGTGTGTAAATATGGCATTCTGTTCTTACTTTTACCATGTTTTACATTCATTCCACAAAATAAGTCATGATTTCCTCCTCGTGGGACATTATTTTTGCGGAATGTTTCACCGTATTTAAATCTGCTTACGAAGATTTTGGGGGGGATATTTTGGGTTATATAACAATCTCATAAGATAGATCATAGTTATGCAACGCCACTATGTAACCATGAAGTCTAGACTTTGACCTGACTAAATATAAACAGTACCACTGCATAAATGTTTTAAAGAATGTCTGCCATAAAAAAAAATCTAATGACAACATTGAACTAGCATCCATTTTTGTGTGTTGCGCAAGTGCCGTAAACCGTCCGAACGAAATTAAGCATTCAAATTAAGTTTGTTTTGCACAGGCATATCAAGATGACTTTCAAAAATTCACAATTACCACAGCCACCATTAAAGTGGTCACCAGAAATGAGAGTCACCCTGCGTTCTCTGAAGCGGAATACTGTGGCCATGTTCCCAACAACGCTGACGTCATCTTTGCCACGATGTGCAACAGCCCAAACATCCTACAGCTACAAGTCAACGATGCAGATTACGCCACTGTGAGTGGCACCTTACACCGACACGTGCTGCTACCAACATCCCAGACAACAGAAGGGATCTCTATTTTAACTTCTTTCGCACCGTACGTAGCCAACCGTTCTAATCGGAGGTGCGGGTTAAAGACAACAAACTAAACACAAAAAGCAGTTTTCAAGAAATTAGTTTCCAATCTAGATTTAAAGGTGCATATCTCCTGTGGTTTCCTAATATCGGAAGTAAGAGCGTTCCAGGCGGGTACAGAAGCACATCTGGAAGCGCACGATGCAGTGACCATCTTTGTTCGATGATTAGCCAAACGCCGCTGCGAGGATGACCGGAGTTCTCGTGATGGTTTATGCTCCTTGACGAGAAAGACAAAATTACCAAAATGCAGTTCCTCTGAACTGGTTATTTCGCATAAAGCGTAAGGATGAGAGGTTGCGTACATGCACATTTCTGTTTCTGACACTATTTTTACTGTGGGATTTTCTCGTCATTACAGATTCAAACAAACATCCAAGGGAGTAATTTTTCACGTTAAAATCCCAAAAAAAACCGTCTCTCATTGACAAAAAATACAAATAACTGGATACATTTGCTGCTGAACTCTTATTATTTTTGTAAATAAAATAAACGCAAGTTTTTCAAAATTATGATTTTCACATACTTTGCAATCTCCCTACTGTCCACAAAACAATTGTTGATAAAAGGAGAAAAACGTTAACGTGTGAAACTGATATAATTAATATAAGATTAGGTTTTACCCTTTTTGGCAATAAAACAGTTGTGTTAAGATGGTAAAACGCCAAACAGAAACCTTTTGCAAGGAATCATATCTGCATGAACCACACATACTTGTGGTCAACATGCAAACAAAACACATGCTCTGGTAATGTATGCATTGTATGTTTTGATACTGGCAAGGGAGGTCCCATAATGTAGCTGCTCACTTCGAGCTATGAATGCCCTGATAGTAGCATTGTGTTTGTGCTGTTCACCCTTTGGCGTCCTCTGGTCTGACACTGTTTGAGACTGGGCTCTAAATAAAGCTGTCTCTGGTGTGGACCAATCAGTTTCAAAGGCAATGCATCATATATTACCAGAGCATGTTTTTTGTTGGCATGTTCATCACAAGTATATGTGTGTGGTTAATGCAGACACGATTCCTTGCGAAAGGTTTCTGTTAGGTGTTTTAACATCTTATCACCTGCGTGTTTTTGCCACCAAGGGTAACATCTATTCTTATATATTTTTTATACTGGCAAGGGAGGTCCCATGATGGTTATCATTCGGTTGACTGCAGAAAGCAACATTTTTGGCCCATTTCCTGAAACGTCGCCTTTTCTATGTCTTCCTTTGAAGGCCACCGTGTTATTGACAACTGTTTTGAGGTATCCGTTGAATTTGGGATACACGAAATGTTGTCATGTTCCCATGAGCTTCCGTGTTACGATTCTGAACATTGAGTAAGCTGATGGGTGCTACGACAATGGCGTGGAGATATGGAATTTAAACTCACAATGTTACCTTCTTCAGGGACATCCAATTGTTGAATACACAATTGTGGGAGAAGGCAAGGAACACATCGAGATACATCCGAATGGCTATGTGCTCGTTCGCAGCTCCAACCTCGTCGCAGGCCAGGAGTACACGTTTGACGTAAGACCCCCCCCCCCCCCTTTGCCAAATCTGGTGTGTGAATAAGTATATTGCTTATGGCAGGGGTTGGCAACCCGCGGCTACGGAATGCCTACACACATTACATTACGTCACGAAGCAGTCGGTGATTGTGAACGCGTACACACATGATGTCACGCAGCAGTCCGTGATTGTTCAAGTTCAAGTTAATTTATGAGGTGTAGCCCTGTGAGCCATTCGGCTCTTGAATCGGGTGCAACCGCAACAAACAAAAAACAAAAACATGAACAAAAAACATCTTAAAGTGAATATGTGACTGAGTGCAAACAGAAAATCCAAGAAAAGACAGCAAAATATTGCAGAAAAAACACCGTACACCAACACTGTGTGCAAAAATCCCAGTGGGATGCAAGTCAAACAACAACAACAACCACAAGACAACTTAGATTAAGGCCATCAGTCTAACTCTGTACTACAACAAACAAACATGGACAAACCAATACACTTTTCGAAATCACACACATTGCGTCACGAAGCAGTGTTATCTAGTTTGTATTGTCTTGTTTATGATGTCTGTTATATATATTTCTACATTGTATCAGTTTTTGTTTGCTTTATTAGCCTCGTGATTAATTTAGTATTTGTTCTTCCAATTAAGATGAATCCATTTATAATTTCTATTCACTTAATCATTATATGCCTAGTATATTTTTTTACATATTGCGCTCAAGTGTATTTGCACTGATACTCTTTCCTTTAGCCATAGGCAGAGGTTTTCCTCAGCTTGCTCTGCTAAACTAGTCCCACGAGCACCTCCTTAGACCACCTACACTTTGCTTTGTCAAATGCAGGGGCGGTTTCTTCATTAGGGCGATTGGGCGACGCACCACCAATGTCATTCAACCACAGAGTCACGCTAGCTGTCACTGTGCCTCTGGATATAGTCCAATCAGCGTGATGTCACGTTCTGTGGAGTACCGCCTCTTTTTGGGCGATTTCCCTCCAGCTGAGAATCGCCCCGAGTGGTCCCATAGACTTACATTCAAAGATGTTTTTTTTCGAATGGGGGCGCTGCAATGCATTCTCTATGGCTTCCGGGAGGGCTCGCCCTAACGTGCTTACGTCATCATACGTGCTTACGTCATCATACGTAAGCCCGTTTCATCCAACAATATAATTTGTCGCCACCTAGTGGAATCTTTAATAATAGAAACGTGAGTGGTTTGTTTTAATAGTGAGTATATAAACAAACAAGATGTATTGTAAGAGTCACTTTATTTTTCATTAATATTAAAGAAGTGACGTTGCCTTTACATGCTTAAGCTGTTAATTTATCCATTGCATGGGTGGACCTTATCCTTATCAATCATCCAGACATTTGCCCCCCCTGAGAGATTTTGCAGGAGCCACCACTGGTCAAATGTATTACCAATCCATTGCTTAGCCAGTGCAGACTAGGCCAGGGACATACTCTTTGGGTATTTCTATAAAGCAGAACTTTCCAACGTTATCACAAATACGACTATCAAAACTACCCGTTCCCAGCATTATTTGTGATCATAATTTCATTTTGTTTACTAAGTTGCACTCAACATAAGCCAGCATTTGATTGCGCCCATTGTGAAAGTCGATACGTTACGAAATTAGTTATAATTCATATCAAAAACAAAGAATAGGCTTAATTTACTCAAGCAAGGTTCACTGAGGCCTAGGGTTATATTTCAGGATGACACTTCATTTGGCACGTTTCGGCATATCGATTCAAGAGTATTAGGCATATGAGCGGAGCCAAAGTGCTCACAAGAAAACCCACACTTGTGAGGAGATAACACTCAAATCTCCACACAGACGGTATCAATATTCCATTGCTGTACTTGCCATTACTTGACCACGTTGCAGCCTATTGCCTACAACACTGGTATTAACCAGGCAGTCTCCTATCCAAATACTAACCAAATGCTTGCTGCTTGCACATGCACAGGTAACCAAATATAGTTACATCATCTAAACTCGTAAGAATTTATATGGGAAGCTTTAGGAATACGAGCAGCACCGCAGCACACAGCAATGCTGATTCCACAATGCAGTTTATGATACATACATTTGTGAATTGCTAGGTGAATGACGTTTTCTATCAGTGCTCCACACAGAACATAATCCCAGTAAGCGTCTCCAAGGCGCGCAGTCCGCACTGTGCAGAGAGAACGAATGTTATTCTGGGTTTAAACTAAACTATTTTTGGTTTACCAGCTGAGGGCCACCTAGCTATATAGCTCGTTTTCAGAAGCGACCTGGTCACAAATAATAGCTCAACTAAGTGGCTTATCACGTGGAAATTGTATCTCAGCCAAATGCTCAAAAATGCATGTTGATTCTAAATGAGAATCACAATCTTTATTCGTACCGGAGGAATCCGATGAGCTATGAAGCTCTGTTTCACAGAAGTCCTGTCGGGGCGGGTCAGAAATTGAGTTTTGTGAAGCAGCATTGGTAACTGTTTGTGGTTTAGCATTTGACTATCATTTTAGTCATTCAATTTCTGTAAGTTTTTCTCCAAACCCATAAAAACCAACAATTATTCCAGAAGTAGTCTGTGTATTTCTTTATATACTGCGTTATTTAATAATTTCTGATTCACGTAAACTGTAAGAAAACCCAATAACTGCGTTTGATAGACATTAGAAAATAGGAATGAAAAAAAAATAGGTTTTACCCTTTCTGGCAATAAAACTGGTGTTAAGATGTTCAAACACCAAATATAAATATTTTGTAATGAATCAAGTGGTTAACCCTATATAATTTTTCATACTTTGATAATGGGAAAAAGGTCCCGTGATATAGCTGCTCACCCCGAGCTCTAAATGCTGATACGTGCATTGTGTTTGTATTCATATACTTAGGTTTTTTCGGTAAAGTCACGTAGATAAAACATTTATAAAAGTAAAATAAAATCACGACGTTTCGGAGGCAACACAAGCTTCCGTCTTCAGGTGGAACCGTCACAGCCACGACAGCTGTATCAAGTAAATGATACGGTTCCACCTGAAGACGGAAGCTTGTGTTGCCTCCGAAACGTCGTGATTTTATTTTACTTTTATTAATTTTTTATCTACGTGACTTTACTGAAAAAACCTAAGAATATGAATGCTTGCAGTCACGAAAGCTTCAAATCTAGAATGTGTTTGTATTGTTCGCCTGTTGGTGTTCTCTGGTCTGACACTGGTGAGACTAGGCCATGAAGAAGGCTGTCTCTGGTGTAGGCCAATCAGTTTCAGAGACAATGCATTTATTATCAAAGCATGTTTGTTTACATGCTCACCACAAGTACATGTGGTTAATGCAGGTTTGATTCCTTGCGAAATGTTTCTATTTGGTTTTGAACATCTTAACTCCTGTTTTATTGCCAGAAAGGGTGAAACCTATTCTTATTTTTAAAATCCTTTATATTAAGTTCGCTTGCTTGCGTGCTTGCTTGCTTACAACCGTGCAAATCTTTCGGTCGTTTTTTAACCCACTTCCCGTGATCCAATCGAGCTGACATTTTGCACACAGACTCGTTGTGCGAGACAATTAATGTTCGTGAAATTTTTTTTCCAAAATTTTACACTCTTTAGGGAAAACAAATTAAATATTTAATTACCAATTGCTTAATACTGGCAGACAATCATCTGACCCATAGGTGGCAGCCATCTCAAGCCAGAGGACGAGAGGACTCTAGCCGCCACGCATATAAAGGATTTAGAGTGAAAAACTTTGTTTTTACGGGTTATACTTATTTCATACTTTGATATTGGCAAAAAGATCCCATTAGAAAATAGGTCCTACAATATTCGTGATTATAGATAACAGCCAACTTTGACAGATCAGCCGGCCATTGCAGACGTTCCTTCACGTTTCCACTCGTGTACATTTCCACATTCGTTGAATCAAAATCATCTCAAAAGAGGACACGTCCATGGCTTATACGGCCGAGTTTGAAATGAAAATCGACCACTCACACCATATCTGTCACAAGGTCTCACTTTCCACACGTACGGATGCAAATTAATTCTAATTTTTGTTGTTTTATGTTACATTTTTCAAACAGATAGAAGCGAAGGATATTGAAAACGGTGACATTTCCCAAACTCGCCTCACGATAAATGTGCAAGCCGGTGAGTCAAGTCTTTCATGACATCTTCTTTTGAATTACTATTTGACATTTAGTTGTAGGCTCCAAATTGTAAATGTGCTATGGTTATATTGGTTAAAAAAAAAACTTGATGCATGCATCGCACGATATTTGTAGACTTTTCAGCCTGACAAACAAGTGCAAACCAAATTTCTATTTAAAGCTTTCGTGACTGCAGGGATTCATATTCTTGGTTCTTTCGGTAAAGTCACGTAGAATGGAAATAATAAAATAATCAAAATAATCAAAATAAAACATAATAAAATTATTCTCACGACGTTTCGGCCACAACGGCTGCTTGCGTTGTGGCCGAAACGTCGTGAGAATTATTTTATTATGTTTTTTTTTATTATTTTTATTATTTTATTATTTCCATTCTACGTGACTTTACCGAAAGAACCAAGAATAAGTGCAAACCAGTGATCAACATTTCTAATGCCGCATTACCACGGACAGTTTTGACTGCGCCAGTCCCCTTATTGCGTGCACTGAAGGGGGAACAGACTTTGGCCCTCCTCACAAAAGCACCGATAATCCACACGTGCGGATGTAAATGTGGGGCGTGTTACCTCTAACCTTTTAATCCATGGTCGTACCACCACCCACTTCCTACTCCACATAATCACCTTTGTATGCACGTTGAACTTGTTTAGCACAGCACGCAGCTAACCGTACTAATCGGAGGTGCGGGGGAAGGACAACAAACTAAACACAAAAAAGCAGTTCTAAAGAAAGTAGTTTTTAATCTAGTTCTTTTTTTGAAAGTGCATAGCTCCTATTGGCTTCCTAATATCGGAAGGAAGAGCGTTCCAGACGGGCCGCAGAGGCGCATCTGAAAGCACCGCGCGATGCTGGGGCAACAATCTGGGTGAAATCTAGGAGATTTTCTCAAGAAGCAGAGAACACAAAGTACCTTGGACAGGCAGGCACAAGGAGGTGTCGCCCGCAAATATTTACCCCAATACGTTGAGATTGGCGCGTTGCCACCGAAACCTAACAACCCTATAAGTAAATGAATGCGAGACAGGTTTACGTTTGGCAACCTCTTTAGTGTTTACTGTGGAGCGCGCGCGCGGCGTAATGCGCGCGTGACATCGTCACGTACATTCTCATGATGCCATAAATGTCGAGTTGCGTGAACTCGTAGGCGGCAGGCGGAGTCTGAGGGTTTAACGTTCAGCAATTGACCCTGGCACCTATTGTCTACCCACCCCCCCGACACACACACCTGTACATTACGAGTGACTGACAGCGTATGCTCAATAAACGTGTGAAAACAACTAGACATCCACCATTGTATGCGCCCTCCTTTTGAGGTCAGACAATGTCAACAGGCTTCTTAAAATAAAGTTTTAAAGCAAACTAGCAAAGGACATACATTGAGAATATTGCTAGTTCTGAGAAGAGGCACCCAGCTTTCATTTGAGACCAGGAATTGTGCTGTAGGCCTTCGGGTGGCTGAGTCTGCTAGTTTGGGACAAAGTAAAAACGGTGATTTAATGACGTTGTAAATTTCGATTTAAAGCTTTCGCGACTGCAGGGATTCATCTTCTTGGTTCTTTCGGTAAAGTCATGTAGAAGGGAAATAATAAAATAATAAAAATCTAACATAATAAAATACAATTCTCACGACGTTTCGGCCACAACGCAAGCAGCCGTCCTCAGGTGAAGAACAGGTCTGTCGGAAAGACAGCGTCCGAATGAACACCACCAAGCTTGGCAGTGTATATTTAAGCTGGGTTAGAGGAGGAGGGCGCCTTGACAAAGGAATATGCGTTGTGGCCGAAACCTCGTAAGAATTGTATTTTATTATGTTTTATTTTTATTATTTTATTATTTCCCTTCTACGTGACTTTACCGAAAGAACCAAGAAGACGTTGTAAATGTTTTTTTTGTTTTAGCGGCAACAGCAAGCAAACAGTGAATCTCGTGAGAGCATCCTGATGCTGTCAAAATATACCAAAGCACTGTAATGGTAGGTAAGCTTAGGATGAGTTGCATGTATTATATAATTTATCAGGGCACATACTATATAACCAGTTCCGTTTTTAGTGTAGAAACTAACAATTCTGGTCGCTTTCAGTAGGCATGTACCATGCTTATATTCATTCACTCACGATGCATGCATCAATCGTGTGTGTAAGCATCAATAATTTACGACCTCAAATGTGACCTGGAGGGAAATGGAATGAATGACAGAACGAATGAGACATAGCTAACAAGACACTACAAACGAGACATTGTAGGAGTCGTAAATCGAAGCACGTAGGTATGTATGTTGAACTTCTTTAGCACCGTACGCAGCCAACCGTGTTCATCCAAGCACGACGATTAATCTCGTCACAGAAGCGTGGAGTTCATTATCAAAGGAGCAGCTTCTGCAATCTGGAGCACTGTTTATGGCTGGGGTGGAGAACCTTTTTTCTGCCAAGGGCCATTGGGATATTTATAACATTCTAGATTTGAAGCTTTCGTGACTGCAAGGATTCATATTCTTATGTTTTTTCGGTAAAGTCACGTAGGTAAAAAATTAAAATTAATAAAAGTAAAATAAAATAAAAATCACGACGTCGTGATTTTTATTTAAAATTAAAATTATAAAAGTAAAATAAAAATAAAATAAAAATCACGACGTCGTGATTTTTATTTTATTTTTATTTTACTTTTATTAATTTACATTTTTTTTACCTACATGACTTTACCTAAAAAAACCTAAGAATATATTTATAACATCATTCGCGGGCCATACAAAATTATCAACTTAAAAATTTGCCTGTTATATTTGGTCAAACATTTAATGAACTCACCCCTAATGCGATGGCTGGAACTGTTTCTCTTTGGTGAGGCGTGTGATGATGTTAGCTGGTATTGATGATGTTGTTGCTACTCGCAACTGCTTTTCCAGGTTTGCTCCTAGATTTGTTGAATTTCGAGTCCCGCCTGCGGTTGCCTTGGCAGGGCCACACCAAATGATTTTGCGGGCCTTATACGGCCATTCCCCACCCCTGGTTTATGGTGATCGCTGGACTGTTGAGGAGTTCCTTGCCTCGCGTTGTGACCTGTGGCCACACCTGTGGAAGTGGCTACGCGGTTGGGTTGCTTTGTGTGTGATTGGCGGGGCGAGCCGGTGTGCTGGGGTATGCTGCAGCCCACACCCAGGACGATTGCTGGGGCGGTGTGGCGACTCCCCAGGAAGTGGGGTAATTGGAGAAACAGCTGGATTTAATAAAGGAATAATCGATTAAGGGAGAGCTCTCTGCTTATATTTTAAGCAATTTTTTCGGATAACCCCCCACCCACAACGCTTGCATTTGGTGTGCGGTGAGTGGGGTTGCTCTTCTGCCCCGATGAGTTAGTGGTGGACTTCTCTCTTGGCACATATACGGCTGGGAGTTTTGTCTAAATAGGCTGTTTTTTAACCTCACAGATTCGTTTAGGATCCTGATTTTTTTTTGTTAAGTTTACGAGCTGATTATGGACATGTGTTGTTAATTTTGGGAATTGACGTGCATTTTATGGGTTGGACAAATGCCACCATGGGCCCAATTGTTTTCCCACTGGACTTGCAATCCAGAGGTCAGCCGGTTCGAGCTGTATGTGTGGCGGGTTGAATGGAGACTCATTCACAGCACTGGAGGCAACACGTTTATTAACACTTAACACAAAAGGGGTTAACGTCCCCTACACCAGGTTAGCTAAGGTGGTAACCCACCGAACTAGCTAACCTAACAAAACGCCCCGACGTAACACCCTAGTCCTCTTCACGAGTCGGAGTTCCCAGGTGTGCCACCTCTTCAGGCTTGGGCGTAGCGTCTTCTCCGCGATCATCAACCCCCTATCCCCCCCGGGGGACCGGCTTTTAATCTCCCATGTGGGGCTTGCTCTCCGCCCTCAGCCCCACCTCCTTTACGGACCCACCAGCCAGGATCCCTCCACAGCACGGTGTCCCCCTTCATGCCCCCTTTACTCTGGGCTGGTACTGCATTTACCCCAAGCCTCGACAGGCAACCGCACACGGCGACTTGCGACGATGTCGCTACACAAGCATGGCGGTTGAATCTAAGGGGCATGCTTCTTAAATCACCTCTGCCTCTGTCTTCCGAGCAGTATAAATGGATGCAACGCAAGTTGCTCTGTTTGACAGATCGCGTGTGGCGGGGTAAAGGGTGGGTAACCCCTACATATTTACAAGTTGCCTCGCAAGCTGGGAACAGTCCGCGATGGAGGCGCTTCTGCCGCAAGTGGCGCGAACAAGCAATTGCAGGGCTGCACCTTTTACTTCTTACTCTGGTTATGAGCAAAGGTTACCAAGAACCCTTGGTTTGGGAGGCTCCTTGTCATTGGTTAACACATTAGTGAGGAAACAAACTGCAGCGCTTATCAACAATGTATTTATCACCCACAGTGCACCAAGCCAGCGCAAGTATTTTTTTTTATTTCTTGGTATGAACAGCTCATGATTATCTATGATATAAATACACTGGCCATTATTTACATGTTGGTAGGAGTGCAATTTCTTCTGAATTGCGTTTCCCAAATGTAAAATGTACAATATTTTACGTTAAAATGTCAGTATTTGACATTCCATTTTTACCAGGAAATTAGACGTCATGACATTTGTAGAGTTAACGTATTGACCTGTGCGCGTGTGTGATACACGCATTAAGATTATTTGGCTGCTGTAAATTTCCACGTGATTAGCCACTTCGTTGAGCTATAATTTGTGGCCAGGTCGCTTCTGAAAACGAGCTATATAGCTCTGTGGGCTTTACCTGATATATAAAAAAACATAGTTTAGTGGTTATTTATTTTTAGTTATTTCCTTACCTTTCCTATACTTTGCACTCCTATCGTTGTTTTAACATTGTTGTTGAAATTTATGACCCAGCCTTCCTGGACATCTGTGAAAAAGAGCTTCATAGCTCATCAGATTTATCCAGGCATAAATAAATATTCTGGTTCTGATACCTGGTATATAGGTGCTTGTTCGTACAGTTACACTTAGATTTATGGATGCACAAAGTCAGCGATGTCGAGCCGATCCCCCTAGCAGTCAAAACGCTTGCCGCTAAACTAGTTTGCTCCGACTCAGCGCTTCAACTCCGACATTCACTTGTTCATTGCTACAAGGATCTACTACAACTTGCCATGTAATGGAGAGGTCGAAAACTTGGAGCTATGCAGGCCATCAATCTCACAAAACAGTGCAATAGAGTGTTAGTTCACTGATGTACCGTACCATTAATTCTAAACATTACATTTTAAAGAAATCTCCTTGAACACTGCTCTTTTTGGTCATATTCCGTAAAATATTTGGCTGGTCCACAGCTAAGGTTCCATGCGGAGGTGTAAGTGCAGTGACCTTTGTTGCTCGAGTAAGAATATTTGCCCGTGCGTGCGTGCGCGTGATGCCTGTTGTACGCCTTTGTGATTAATGTCACAGCGAGTGAAATGTGACCCTGCGTGGTACAGCAGTAGACGGATCGAGTAGGCTCAACCGAAAAGTGTTGCGCAGAGGAAATGACTCCTGCTGAGTTTTTGGTCATCTTCTCAAGTGGAAATATCACCCAAGGGCACCCCTCAGCCAGGAACAAAAATATATATATATATCTATGAAATTGAAATTTTTGGATCGGTCAGAAAGGAACTTGAAAGATGTTGTGAAACATTCCTGTAAAATTTCGATTTAAAGCTTTCGTGACTGCAGGGATTCATCTTCTTGGTTCTTTCGGTAAAGTCACGTAGAAGGGAAATAATAAAATAATGAAAATAAAACAGAATAAAATAATTCTCACGACGTTTCGGCCACAACGCAAGCAGCCGTCCTCAGGTGAAGAACAGGTCTGTCGGGAAGACAGCGTCGTGAGAATTATTTTATTATGTTTTATTTGTATTATTTTATTATTTCCCTTCTACGTGACTTTACCGAAAGAACCAAGCAGATCCTTCCTGTAATTTCAAATAGACAATGCTGACGTTCGCTCGTAACTTTACAACAATGACGATGCATGCAATTCATGGAAACGGTACACTTGATTTTTCAACGTTCAGTATTGGGTAATCATTCCCTAAAGCATAATACGTGTTTGCCTTTAGTCACTGTTTTATCGCTTTGAAGACTTTACTCTTTCAGATAAATACAAAACAAAGATGCCTGTGCAAATAATTCACTTCACGGGATTGTGAACACGATTAATACGATGCGAGCACCTGCCAATTGAAACGGTAGCTTGAGATTATCCTGGACAAAGGGGCCTTGCACTTTCCTACAGCATTGCCCCAACAGTAGTGATTCATTCTAGATTTGAAGCTTTCGTGAGTGCAAGGATTCATACTCTTAGTTCTTTCGGTAAAGTCACGTAAGTAAAAAATGAAATTAAAATTAATCAAAATAAAACAATAAAAATCACGACGTTTCGGAGGCAACACAAGTCTCCGTCATCAGGTGGGACCGTCACAGCCAGATTTGCTGCATCAAGTGAGGCAGACTTGTTTTGCCTCCGAAACGTCGTGATTTTTATTGTTTTATTTTTATGAATTTTAATTTCATTTTTTACCTACGTGACTTTACCGAAAGAACTAAGAGTAGTAGTGATTCATTTATCTTTGCAGTGAGTCACAGATTTTCTGATTCACTACATCAGACCCAGACCCAGGTTTTATTTCGCCTGGCAAGGCCCAATTGAGACAAGCATCTCTTTCGCAATAAACATCAGCCCATATGCAAGATCATCAGTATCTGCTAAAGAGCATTAATAGATCACTGGGGAGGCCGTTTCAGGACAATAAAATAGCTTAGAAGAGCATGACTCATCACGTTTTTCGAAATAACACGTCTCTCCACAATTAAACCAACACAGAAGGGGATTGTCCCACCATCATGGCAACATCAGTGCAGCTCATTTATTAATATACTGCGTATTGTATAATACATCTCATTCATAGAGCTGTTATTTCACATTACACAATACAATTACTATTCACACTTCTCACACAACCCATCAGCCGCATGGCCTTCTGGGAATGCATTATTGTCAGCAGCAGACATGTCTCATCATCATAGGGCACCACGGTGGTGAGATGTTAACTACCTCGCCTGGTATACAAGAGGTCGTGGATTCGATCCAGATCCTGACGATGCCAATATATTTGGAGTCCGTGTGCTGTCCCCATAGTCGCGTGGATTTTTCTCCGGGTTCTCTGGTTTTTTCCCACCACAATTAGAATTAGCATCCGTTTAAGAGTATTTGACTGCTATACATTTCCGCATGATAAGCCACTTCATTGAGCTATCATTTGTGGCCAGGTCACTTCTGGAAAAGGCTTACATAGCTCAACGCACCTTACTTGGTAAAAACAATATTTTTTTTTAAATAGTTTACTTTGTGGGATACTCCGTGTTGTTCTGCCCTAGCTGCACACAGAGCGGACCGTTTGTGATGCAAAAATGCTGGCATAGTGCATTGAGTTCCCCACAGAACAGAATATGTTCGGTTCAATAGTGTGGAATGATTCTGCCACTGTTACCCACAAAATGCAGCAATCATTCTGCAAAAGAACCACCCAAGAATGACGGCGTTGGCCTCTATGTCAATTGTGCCCAAAATTAGTGGTGCTGTCGGCCCCTCAAGACTCTCTTGCCAGGCAGAAGTGTGTGCCACTTAAGCAATATTGTCGTTGAAATAAAAATCTAAAGGCACCATTGACGAAACCTTTCAGGAGTCAAAAAACGCAAAGGAAGAGTTGCGATCATTTTTAGCTGTTCTAAATCAACCATTTAATCTTGCAGAAACGACCACCGCTCCGACGACCACAACGCCGCCGACCACAGAAACTTCCGCGACAATCCCTACGACAACAAGGCACGTGACCGCTAACACCGGGAGCGCTATCACAAACCCGGGCGGTAATGCCTCGCCGACAACTCGACCTGGTGGTGATGTCTCGCCAACGACAAGGCCCGGTGGTAATGTCTCACCAACGACCAGGCCTGGTGGTAATGTCTCACCAACGACCAGGCCTGGTGGTGATGTCTCACCAACGACAAGGCCTGGTGGTAATGTTTCACCAACGACCAGGCCCAGTGGTGATGTCTCACCAACTACAAGACCCGGTGGTAATCCATCGCCGACGACAAGACCTGGTGGCGATCTTACCACCACCACAAGGTCAGGAGGAGGCATCATCACTACCCCCAGAACTGATGGTCCTGTCTCCTCTTCCAACAGACCTGAAAGTGTGTCACCGGGAGGTGGTGTAACCCCGACCAGTAACCCAGCAGACATTTCCACAGGGTCTGGAATTAGCAAAGCGACCACTACTTTATCAACCAATGCTCAGCAGTCGACTGCATCCACCTTGAGCAGGCCTACAGGAGGAACCACTGCCAAGACCACGCCTCATGGTGCTATTTCTTCTACCACTGCCAGGCCAGGAGGAACTGGGACAACAGTGAATGTGCCTGAAGGTTCAACCCCGCAAACTACCCAAGGTAGCCACAAACCTCCTACAACCATGTCCAAACCCGTAGGGTCATACTCCACCACGCCAAGTGTGCCTGGTCCACAACCGACAACAGCCGACGGTAAATTGTCATCTACGACAGCTCACACCATGGGAGATGCAAATCCAATGACCCCGAAGTCTGATGAAAATAAATTAGTTGGTGATGCTGCTGCATTGGCAGAGGTGCACAATTTACAAAAAAAAACTCGACATATTCATAAATAACACTGTGGCCTTAAAATTATAAATATATATGGATAATAGGTGATGTTTTGGGCAATGACCCATCATAGCACGGAAATAGAGGTCAGAGAGAGTGGATAATAAATATTTTGAGACTACTCTTTCCTTGATAAGAATTACATGTAAACATGTTCTTTGAAGACCAGTTTTTTAATTGGCCATATGAATAGTTACCCAACAGTAGCAAGTGAGTAATGGACAAACCCTTCAATCAAAAAAATATAATTTATATTGAAAATAAAATGATAAAATGTTGCTGGCGCAGTGCATTGTGGGAATATTTGTTCTTGAGGATATTAACCCATGATCAGTTCAGAGCCATAACGCTGATGCAATATTCTTTTCCCTGTTGTTTTGATACTGTTCAGCTGAAACGTAAGTTATATCATAGTATATTTATGCTACATTTAAATGTAGCCGTTCTAAGTGGCAGAGAAAGTTACCAAACCGGTAGTAACACCTTTTGCTATCTCTGATTTTAAACTTATTCCAGACAAAAAAAAATCCATTCAAATCTAAAAATTGTACAAAATGAAATTCATGGTTTAAAAGTTATAAAGAGGTCAAAATAAATAGTATGCATGGATAACGCCTCCCAACCACAACAGAACCATGTACTCAAACACCCTGAGAGCGAGGCATTTGTGTTAGACGTAGTTTTATTGGAAATTGCATTGCGATTATAGAAATGCAGTAAAAAAATACATTGGGAAAACAAAGTTAAACTTACAAACTAACCATAAGGCGAAACCACAACGTTTTAAAAATAAATTCCAAAGATAGGTCAGGGTCTCGGCTTATGATGTACAAAGTCACAGGAAAGTCATATTCTAATTTTCTGTAACAACAACAAAAACAACCCTATCCTAATTCTAGATTTGAAGTTTTCGTGACTGCAAGGATCCATACTCTTTGGTTCTTTCGGTAAAGTCACGGAGGTGAAAATAAAAAATGAAAATATATTTTTTATTCTACCTTCTCCATTTAATAGAAATCTAAATAGTAGTCGGGTCATGAGTCCAATGAACTTACGCAAAAGTCACACGAGTCGATCACCCTCTACATCTCCACAGTCTCCCATTCGTTTTCATGTCTTGATGCCAAAACGTTTAGCCTCTCGAGGAAAATGAAGTAATAGTCGGGCATTCAACACTGAAAAGGGTGCTGTCAATGGATACCCAAAGATTTGCTATCCATTTCTCGGAATTGAAACTCCTGCGATTTCACCACGGCTGACTTAGCTAAGTCTCCAGATTCTACAGAGATGTTCAGATGGAAGAAACAAATTCCCTCCTATTTGACTGCATCTTCTGCATTTTCTTCCTCCGCTTTGGATTCACCTTCGCCTTCGCAGAAGAAAAAGTGTCTCATGCACTGAGAGAGAAGAGATTTGACACTAGGTCCGGGAAAAATGGATGAATCCGAGTTCCCAATGCCGACTTGAACCTTTGTTCTCGATGATCGGCATTGATTATGATTTATTTTTCATAGAAAAGAGATGTACGCTATGCTGTGGAGGCAGTTTTGAAGAAAGAATACATTTTACGGTGTTCAAATATAACCATAAATCAGATGCTGCAGGCTTGTCTTTGCAGTCATTAACTTGACAGCTCCCACAATACCATCGCGAAGAGCCTTTGTCACGTGAAGTTGCAAACGAGTTCTACTCAATGTCCAACTTGTGGTCCAGCTCCTGGTGTCAAAGATCAGTGGGATTTAAATCAGTTAATGTATTGACCGGAAGAGTCATCGCCAAAGTGGAGCAGATTTTCCTTCACTCTTGGAGAGGAGATCAGAGTGGTAGGCATTACACAGCTGCTGCTGCTGCTTTGAATGATCTCTGCAGAAACGTATTTGGAGCGGTAAACTAGATACGGTTAAAAACAAATTTTTTTTAATTCTCATGACGTTTCGACTGCAACACAAGCAATCATCATCAGGTGTGAAATCCACAGCAAGAAATTTCAGACCTGATGACGATTGCTTGTGTTGCAGTCGAAACGTCGTGATAATGTTTATTGTTTAATATTTTCATTTTTTTTATTATTTCCCTTCTACGTGACTTTACCGAAAGAACAAAGAATATGAATCCCTGCAGTCACGAAAGCTTTAAATCTAAATTTAGATACGGTTAACTAACTATTTTTTTATTTTACAAGATAAGGCCCGCTGAGCTATGCAGCTCTTTTTCAGAAGCAACCTGGCCACAAATGATAGCTCAACGAAGTGACTTACCACGTGAAAATTTATAGCGGCCAAATACTTTATATTTCCCAAGTGCCGCTTGGGAGATTATCCAATGAAAGACTTGGACCTGTTCTTCTTGGTCTCAAGGCCTCTGGCCTCACTCCCCTCCAAAAAATCCAAAATGCTTCCACACGAATTATTTTCAATCTCCCCTTTAACTGTCACACGTCGCTTCTCCTCCTTCAACTCCACTAGCGTCCCGTTTACTACACCGCTGTCTTTTCAAATACTCGAAGCGAGTCCTTAAATCCCTTCACGGCCTTAGCCCACCTCTTTATAACTTTTGATTCCTGAACCTGATCACCAGTCGAACATGTACATTTTAAGGTTTTTTGTTTTTGCCTGGAACGACTATATGAACTGAGTTTGGCGTGAATTGGAGATGGTAGGAGTTTCAATACAATTACTGTTTGGGAGATGTTGTCATGGAACTGATATCACTGTGCCAGCCGACGTTTATCCGTGCTCAGTGACCACGAAGATTTAAACATTCTACGCCAACCTGCAGAAGAAATATAAACTCATGGTGCGATATTAAAATTCAGTGTGTTGAGGGTCAATCACGGACAGTAACCATGTAAGTCTAAGTACTGTATGTCAACATATGGGAAAAAATAATCACATGCGTCTCAAGTATGCTTAGGGCATACAGATAAGATGCTAAAGGACACTTTTATTGATCAATCGATCACAGTTGATGGCATGTGTCGTGCTCAGTTGACATAATTTACTGCTTTTAGCACAGAATAATAGGGTGGAGCAAACCAGGCTCTTATTGGTCACGCCTGCCGTGACCTGTGGTTACTTTGGGCTGGAGTGGAGTGGTGTGATCTGTGCACAGTGTGCTGCTTATCTCTCACTCCTCTAGGTTACACAGTTGCCCAATCGAGGCAGCTGAAAAAAAAACAACACGAGGACCGTGCAACAAGATGCAGTACCAAATCAGAAAGTCAAATACATGCCGTAGAAATCCGCCAACGTGTTAGAAGTAGGCCAAATGTTTGTACAAATAAAGTAGGCAGCGTCTTAAGCGACGGCAAAAACCACATCGCAACATCGTAATGGGAATATTTCATGCAAAAGTAGGTAAAAGTAACTGAGGTGCGAGGATTATTGGAAATGCCATTTGAGTGAGGATAATGCATTTTAGAGTTCTTAGCCAACAGGGACATAAAGACAATGAACACATTTTTTCAAAATGAAGGAGGCCCCAAATAGTTACATTGCAAATAAACTTTACTTGTTTATAATCGACAAACACCACCTGCAGTGATTGCTAGATTTGTTGATGAACTAAAAACTACAAACAACTAAAAACCCCTATATTATGGATGATATTGGTCGCGAAAGCCTACGTGTAAAACTAAACTACAAAATGGCCACACATTCAGTTATTTTTCAGCTTGTGGTCTGGATAAGGCTGACAGCTTGTCTGCATGCAATACACACACTTCTCTGTGTGTTGTTAAATCTATTTGTTTCCTGCCTACATCATGTTGTTCTCCTTTTTAGAGGATTTTCTCATCATGTACATATTTTTTTGATGGAGTAATATTCCTTCTAGCAGTCAGATCAAGCAACTGAGATTCACAGTGCATTATGTACGTTAGGTACTGCCCAAACCTAATATTTCTAAGGCAAGTGCTTAAAATATGTGCCCCAGAACTTGCACTCATTCTTAATTGGGTCTTCGATATAGTAACCACAAGGCACCAACAACATGGATACATCTTTTTTTAATTCATAATTATCCCCCGATCGCCTTGACTTCATTGCTGTGCAAAGTAATGGAATCTTTCACCATAACAATCACCTCCTCCATCACTTGGAGCCATCGTTTCTCGGTTGTGGATCCCGTAATGCACGATCTGCGGGTTTTCCAGTGGCTTGTTTTTGGGGCGCAAAGCAGGAACATTTTGGAGGGTCTATGATCATAGACCTCGGTGTTTCTAAAGCATTTGACTGTATCTGGCATGCCACACGACTGCAATTGCCAAGCTTCCATCATTTGGCATCCACTCTATTCTACAAGCTTGGACTTCAAGCTTTCTTAACTTTCTAACCTATAGCTCAATATATGTAGTAGTTGGTGATACTTTACCACATTAACTTTGCCGTTCTATCAAGATCATCTGTTTTTGGCAGATATAAAAAGAAAGTCTGGGTATGCAACGTTGTATTGTAGTCAGCTGTCCCCATTGACCAGCTGTGGTTAGAACAATGTGTTGACACCATTGGAACCTCATTTGCCAGTAAAAAATATGATAATTGTTTTTTTACCCTTCTATCTGGCAACAAAACTGACACCTTTTTTTCGGGTATGGACCAATCAACTTCAAGGACAGTGCATATATTATCAGAGTTATGTTTTTTGTTTGCATTATGGCTGCAGGTATTGTGGTCTATGCAAACATGACTCCTTGTAAAAAAGGTGTCAGTTTTGTTGCCAGATAGAAGGGTAAAAAAACAATTATCATAGAACAATGTGCTCGCAATTGCCAGGTTGCAAGTTCAAATATTGGCATGAAGTTTACAGCTGGGGTCAATATTAATAATAATGATAATGCCCTCCATATATCCAAGAAAGACTTACCTAGTCTCTAGGTTCTTATTCAGGACAGCCCTGCATTGTAGCGTATGGACGATTCGGTTAACACGTGGTTTGGCTTGTGAGAAGAACCCGTAGAGTGCCTTGAGAAAAGAGCATGCATATGAGGGGGAAACGAAGCTCTGCGTGGGATTCAATAATAGATTAAATAATAGATTATCACCGTTTCCTTTGGGCCAATGAGATGGGCACCATCCCGTACTCTGACACTTTAACTTGACTTTGTTGATGCAGCCGGGGGCTAAGCATTGTACATTTGCACTTATTTTTCTCGGTTAATATAGTCTCATATATGGATAAACGGTTGATAGTAATGGTACTGTCACGGAATGCTTCTGGGAAAAAAAAACACAAGTTGAGAGTTTCACTCCCATTTGCTGATTCTCAACCTCTTAGTTCTTTCGGTAAAGTCACGTAGGTAAAAAATTAAATTAAAATTAATAAAAATAAAACAATTATTGTTTTACTTTTAATGAATTTAATTTTAATTTCATTTTTTACCTACGTGACTTTACCGAAAGAACTAAGAGTATGAATCCTTGCAGTCACGAAAGCTTCAAATCTAGAATGGATTCTCAACCGTTTACCCGCCCTACGACATTGGCCCATTGCATGTATGCAGTTTTCATCTTGTGTATTTGACTTTATTGGCAGAGGGGAGACATTTAGAGATGTGGTCTCGTAAGTGTATTAATTACCGGTGTTGAGCGTGGACATAAGACATCGTAAATATGTCACCCGTTGGCTTCGACTGTCAGCCGATTCATCCTTTTTTTGTCGGGGCTTCTTGCGATTGACCACAATCACCTTAATTCACTGTCATTGGCGAGTAAGTGATGGCATTTTTGTGGTCATTACTTTCACCATCCCGCACTGTTGACCAGCGCGGTGAAGTATGGTCAAACAACCCCCAATCAATGACATCGGCATGAGGAGTCCTTTACCCATCAGTAGTTTGGCCAAAGGTTGTTGTTTAGTTTTAGTTTTAATCTGCGTTAAATTATCCCATTATATTGTTGTTTTACCCTAATTGAGAAGTGTTTTAATGTGTTCATGCTTTCAGTCTACATCTTGAAATGTTGGGGCATACATTTTAATACATATTTGTGTGCAGTGCTTCAAACGGCTGTTAAACTACTTTAATTTCTTTAAAATCCTAAATTTATATATTTTAATTACCAGAGAAACATACAATTCCACCCTACCTCTAGTTAATGCATGGAATTATATTTTTTATTCTTATATTATCTGCTGGTTGAAGATGACTTGAGGTTTTAATAAGTTGACAATGTTTCAACCACAAAGTTCAAACTGCTGTGTTATTATAGTTCTTTAAGAATGCATGATACCTTAAAGGATTTAGACATGTGGCACATTTTCAACACTCATAATTTTTGTTTTGCCAGTGGCACAGGTGTTTGCAACTATTCAATAATTGTGTTATATTTGTTTCGGGAAAGGTTCCGATGGACCAACTGTGACCGGGCCACAGATAACCACTGGAGGTAAACCACCCAATGCATCACCCACATCAACACAGAGCTCAGACAACATCCGGCCATGACTCAAGTTCAAAGTACAACGATAACAAAAGTAAAGCGGCATCATTATTATTATTAAACTCCGGAACAAGCCTAAGTTGCAACAAACTGGATTTAATACCTTCACTGGGATCGAATAGGTGGGGTCTCACAGCCCCATCACAAAACCATGAGGGGTGTGCGGCAACTTGGGGAAGCCTTCATCCAGCAGCGGATGGATCCTGGCTGATGATCATCGTACAGCTATCGATTGTGGAATAAAGTTTTGCTGTGGCTTACGAAGGAGAGAGAGTTAGGGTATTTTTTTTCTTTCTCAATAGTTGGCAAATTTGAATGCTGTTATTTCAACGGTGCATTTCAAACTACCGTCTTATTATAATTATTTGATACCGAATGATAACTTTATGGACACCCTGAAGGTGATTTGGACATGTGGCACATATTCAATGCGCATTGTTGTTATTAGTAGTAGTATTTTGCCAGTGGCACAGCTATTCGCAACTTGCAATGTTTGTCTTCTATTTGTCGGGGTAAAGGTTCGGATAGACCAACAGTCCCCGGGCCACAGCCAACCGCTGGAGGTAAATCACCGGGTGTTATCGCCCACACCAACACAGAGCTCAGACAAGACCCAGGCCGCAACACAAACTCAAGTGTAAAATAAAAACTTAATTATTACCCCAGAACAAACAATCAGCTCGCAGGACAGCTAAGCTGTGGATGTAAGACTTACTTTAAGTGGTAACAAACTCTCTACAGAAGTACACACTGCACTTAGAATCTTTTTCAGTGTGGGTCAGGCAGGTGGGAGTCTCACAGTCCATGATGTTATGTTTCCAGTGGCATAGCAAATTCCAATATTTGATAGTTATGGCGGTACCCCGGGGTACCAAATAATACAAAATGGCCGAAGCAATTAAATATTTTATTTCTGGGACAGTATTTTTTCCAGGGTTTACGACTAAATCAATCCGAAATCAGTGCTACTCCGCGATGTCGAAACGCAGCGAGGACGATTGCGCTGATACCCTGAACGCTCGCGGTACGCACCGTAGTGATGCATCGTGCACAGATCGTCGAGATGAGTCGATTGCCGCATCGCCGACCATCAACAGACAAAAAAATTACCGCATCACGGACATTGTGCGAGAGCCGGGGTACTATGGACACCCCGGGGTACCGCCATAAGGTTAATTTGTTTTCTATTTGTCATGGCCAAGGTTCCGATAAACCAACTGTCACTCGGCCACATCCAACCGCTGAAGGTAATTAACCAAACGGATGATGATTTTTAATGGTGACAACGCATGATGATGATGATGGCGATAACAAAGATAATGATACGATGGCGACAAACCTGAAAACAATTGCAAAGATGGCATCATTATCAATAGAATGGAAATTTACATTGCATGTGACTGCGTCTCAAAACGCTGTACAGATACAACGGGCATTGTGTAGAGAGAATCGAACAGTCATAGGAAAATACAGATTGGGAACATCACATTGACTCTTAAGAAAGTAGGCTTGGACAGGACATAATTTGATGTCCTTCCCCCGCACCTCCGATTAGCACGTTTGGCTACGTACGGTGCGAAAGAAGTGTAGCATACATTCATACATGGCCAGTGGTCCAGATTGATGGGATGAAGTGGCAGCCAAAGTAGGAATCACACGAGCGAGAAGTAGACATGTAGTACAAGTTCACCACCACATTTTCTTGGTTCTCTCGGTAAAGTCACGTAGACAGAAAATAAAATGAAAATAACAAAGAATAACATTAAATAAAAATGTTAAATAATACGTTGAAAATAATAAAAGCAAAAAAGCCACGACGTTTCGATCGCATCACAACCGGTCTTTATCAGGCGGAGAGAAATGAATTACGGCAGTTACCACACTTTATTTTGTTTCCAGTGGCACAGCAACTACCAATATTTGTTTTCTGTTTGGCATGGTCAAGGTTCCGATAGACCAACTGCGACCAGGCCACATTCAACCGCTGGAGGTAATTAAACAAAAATATCACCCACATCAACACAAAGCTCAGATAATACTCGGGAAACTATACAAATTCAAGGTAAAATTGTACATGTTTTAAAAACTGGTAATAATATTCATGCCCCAGAGAAAGCATTCATAGGTTTACATTTTGGGTGAGATGGATGGATCAGCTGGTGGCACGGACGTTTGCAACTTGGCATATTTGTGTTTTATTTGTCGCGGTAAAGGTTCCGATAGACCAACTGTCCCCGTGCCACAGCCAACCGCTGGAGGTAAACCACCCAATGCATCACCCACATCAACACAGAGCTCAGACAGCACCCGGCCATGACTCAAGCTCAAAGTACAACATTAACAAAAGTAAAGCGGCATCATTATTATTATTAAACTCCAGAACAAGCCTAAGTTGCAACAAACTGGATTTAATACCTTCACTGGGATTGAATAGTTGGGATGTCACAGCCCCATCACAAAACCATGAGGGGTGTGCGGTAACTTGGGGAAGCCTTCATCCAGCAGCGGATAGATACTGGCTGATGATGATCGTACAGCTATAAAATTGTGGAATAAAGTCTTGCTGTGGCTTATGAAGGGGAGAGACTTAGAGTTTTCTTTTTCCTATAGTTGGCAAATTTTAATGCTCTTCTTTCAACGGTGCATTTCGAGCTACGGTCTTATTATAATTATTTGATATCGAAGGATAACTTTGACTGATGAGATGAAATGGCAGCCAAAGCAGGAAACACAGCCGAGACAATTACTCCCGTGGAGAGAGGGCAATGAGATGCATCACGACACCACAAGGGATGTGCCATGGCTTGGGGAAGTATTCACCCAGTAGTGGATAGATCGTGGCCGATGATGATCACACAGCTAGCTATCAATCGTGAAATATAATTTTGCCGTGGCTCAGGAAGTGGCATTAGAGTACTTTCTTTTTTATCGCTGGAAAGTTCAAACGCCGTACTTTTAACGGCGCCGTTCAAACTGCTGTCTAATTATAATTCTTTAAGAATGGAGCATACCGTAATGGATGCCCTGTCGATGATTTAGACATGGAGTACATGTTCACCACACTTGATTTTGTTTCCAGTGGCACAGCAACTTGCAATGTTTGTCTTGTATTTGTCACGGTCAAGGTTCCGATAGACCAACCGTCACCGGGCCACATCCAACTGATGGAGGTAATTAACCAAAAATATCACCCACATCAACACAAAGCTCAGATAATACTCGGACAACAACACAAGTTCAAGGTAAAATTTGATATATAAAAAAAAAACTCGTACCAACATTCATGCCCTAGAGCAAGCAAGCATTCACAGGTTTTACATTTTGGGTGAGATGGATCAGCTAAGCCGTAACACGAACTTTAAATGGCAAAGGTACAACAAAACTCTTTAAACCGCATCATCTCTACATAACAAAAAGGCTCAGTCCCTTTTACATGCACCTTTACATCATCCGCACCTAATTTACACAACAAAGGCCCATTCCTAACAGCGCGCTTCAGCCGCACCGAACCTCACAAAAATATTATTCAGGGCCTACCTTGGCTACTCCCACCCTCAACCAGTATATATATAAAAATACGGTTTTCTTGGAATTTCTCTCACTTGATACAGCTATCGTGCTGTGACTGTTCCACCTGAAGATGGAAGCTTGTGTTGCCTCCGAAACGTCGTGATTTTTATTTTTATTTTACTTTTATTAATTTGAACTTTTTTACCTACATGACTTTACCGACAAAACCTAAGAATATAAAACTCTGGACATCAGGAACGCCGCTGCACTTAAAATTTCAACTCTGTGGCAGGCAGGTGGAGTCTTAACAGCCCGTGATGAGATTGTAGTAGCTAGTAGCTCGATAGACTATTGCATCACAAAGCCACGAGTGATGTGCACTTAATATTTTGACCAGTGGCACAGATTCATAATCAACGATTTTTGGGTTTAGATCGCGTTTATTTATAAATGTGTCGTAACCCTCCACCACCCGACACGGCCAATCAGTAAAAATGTGTCACGTTGACAAAGACAAATAGTTCACTGCTTTAGCCCACCGGTGTGTTGAAGCAACAACATTTACAATTTGAGTACGACGTTTCGCTGGTAATTGCAACCAGCATCATCGGGCAATTCGCCAGAATGGTGAGGCTCTCCTGTGTCTCCCGTTCTTATATAGAGCAGCAGCAGGGTGGCACAGATGTTTGCAACTTGGAATATTTGTTTTTTTTTGTTTTGTCACGATAAAGGTTCCAACAGACCAACTGTCCCTGACCCACGTCCAACCGCTGGAGGTAATTCACCAAAGATAACGCCCACATCAACACAAAGCTCTGATAATACTCGGGCAACAACACAAACTTGAAGGTAAAATTTGATATATTTTTTTAAAACTTGCATTAATGTTCATGCTCCAGGACAAGCATTACACTCACATATTTACATGTTGGGTGAGATGGATCAGCTCAGCCAGGGGACAGAAAACCTGCCGCTCCAGAGCTCCATGCGGCTCTTTAATGAGTGCAGTGCAGCTCTTGAAATATTAAGGGTTTTTTTTACCTAATTTGAAAAAAATGGCTCTTCCTGTTACATTTGGTTGCCGACCCCTGACCATGGATGTCCAGTTTACCAAGGAAGTCCAGTTCACCATGGAAGTCCAGTTTACCATGGAAGTCCAGTTCACCATGGAAGTCCAGTTCACCATGGAAGTCCAGTTCACCATGGAAGTCCAGTTTACCATGGGAGTCTAGTTTACCATGGAAGTCAGTTTACCATGGGAGTCCAGTTCACCATGGGAATCCAGTTCACCGTGGAAGTCCACTTCACCATGGAAGTCAGTTTACCATGGAAGTCAGTTTACCATGGAAGTCAGTTTACCATGGAAGTCAGTTTACCATGGAAGTCCAGTTCACCATGGGCAGGAGTCAGCAACCTGCGACTCTGGAGTTGCATGCAGCTCATTAAGGGACTGCTTTTTGACGTCATTTATTGAGGACCACCGTTTCGTATTCATATTGCCTTGGTGGCTCTTGAAATATTGAGTTTTTTTTTCTTCCGAATTCGAAAAAAATGGCTTTTCTTGTTATTTTGGCTGCCGAACCCTGAGCTAAGCTGTAAGACTAACTTTAAGTGGCCAAGGGACAACGCTACATTTCAAACTTCCCTTTGTGGCAGGCAGGTGGTCTTACAGCCCATGATGAGACTGTAGGAGATAGACGGACTATGGCATCATGACACTATGAAGAATTGGTTACTTAATATTTTGACCAGTGGCACGGATGTTTGCAACATGGATATTTGCTTTCTATTTCTCGCGGGAAAGGTTCTGACAGCCCAACTCTCCCTGACCCACGTCCGACCTCTGGAGGTAATTCACCAAACATAACACCCACATCACCACAAAGCTCTGATAATACTCGGACAGCAACACAAGCTCAAGGTACAATGATAGCCAAAGTAAAATAATGATTAAACTCCAGAACCAAACTTTATTTGCTGGAGAGAAGACTTGAACTTTTGACCCGTGTATAACTGTCCATTTTGTTTTTCACCCTCTCCAAAAGGACCAGAAAAAATCTACACGGCAAAGGATATGGCCATCGTGGGTGGAGTCCTTGGTGCGCTCCTGGCGGTCGCACTTGGGGTTATCGGATTCCTCCTCTTTAAGGTGCTTTCCAAGAAAAAGAAGCCGGTCAAAATTGAGGACGATGCCCATTATGGCGGCGGTGGTGGTGATGATGGCGGCTATGCCAACAGCCGCAAAGGAAGCGGGCAGCAAGATGACATTTCCATCGGAGATATTGGAAGGGTGAGTTCAACTATCAATTTTTTCTCTCCACAGTCACAACCTGCTTTGGACAAAAAATCGTCTGCTACGACCACCCCAAGTCCATTTCACCATGCCCTCAATGGAATACATTTAACTGCTGTCACTAAACCTAAGACCAGATCTGCACAGCACAGTTTATGAAGGAGTAAAGCAGGTGATTTCCCTCACGGTGACGATGACTTCAAAGCATGTTGTCTGAAATGTGTGCTCTCCCGCTCGAGCAGTTCATCATGCATTGGGTAGTAAACGATAATAGTTTAGCACATTTGGTATTCTTGGAGTGAAAGTCTATCGGGAAGGTGCGATGTTTCACGTACATAGTTTTCAGTTGTTTCAGAGTATGAGGTGATGCCACTATGTGCAATGCCAATTAAGTGAATATTCAGTCATATTTCAAATTTTGTAAAAAAATTATTGGACCATGACCACTAGCACACAACGGCCCGCTCGTTTCAAATGACGCAAGGGAATCTTTGACGTCCACTCTGAAGTAAACAGCGGCATAGTTTACGGTGATTACACCCACGGTAATAACCAGGGCGTCCTGCCGGGAAACGAACCACATCACGGCAACCCTACTTCAAACCACCACCCGCCCCGTCTGTTGAACGAACAGCGCGACGATCGAACCGTCACGACACGATATTTCTTTGCTTGTTCCCCCCCCGCTCCGTGTCCACCCCCCCCCCCCTTCCCCCCTTCAGGATGACGATCTCAACATAGTGAACCATTACATCCACTTGCCTAAAGATCACATGCAGGACACGGACGTGGATCGTAGCAGCGGGTACAACTCGGTATCGGGCAGGCCGACAACGCCAATGCTGGAGGACATGGAGGAGCATTCGGCGCCCCCGCCGCAGCCGCGCGACAACCCGGCGTTCGAGGCGGACGCAGCCGTCGCCGCCGCCGCCGCCGCCGCCACCGTCGCCGCCGCCGACGACGAGCAGGCCACCCACACCAAGTCCATCCTCGTGACGATGAACAGCAACGAAAAGGTGGCCAACGACAAGGCCGGCTACAAGGCCGTGTGGTTCAAGGACGAGGTCATTCCCGACGGCGGCGAGGCAGCGGACGAGGCGGACGGCAGGGCGGCGGGGGGGGTACGGTTCGATGGCGAGCCGGCGGATGACGCGGAGGGGAAAGAGTCATCCGGAGCGGCGGTTGCTGGCAGCGGCCTGGATTCGAGCGCGATGCACATGGGAGGCGCGGTTGCAGAAGATGATGAGTTTGCCTCCCTGTAGTTGAGTCTTTTTCCGAATTAAGGCTTTAAAGTTTTTTTTTTTTTTGTGAGCACTGTCGTTTTGCCTAGATTTTTTAACTCGCATGTGTATGTTGGTGGTAAAGAAACATCTAAATTGTAAAAGAGAGTAAATGTAGGAATTATTTGAGTGGATTTTAATGGGATATGGGTTATCTGGGAATTGCGCAGACAGCCGTGGTAATATCGGAGTGGGGACTCAGGATATGCTCTCTAGGTGGGGACATAAAATATGAACACCCAGCTTCTCACCCCTCTTACCTAACCATGGTAAAAAGAATAGCGCACAATGCCAAATATTCCTTCCAACCTTTTGATCTCCTATTGCCAAAGCATTGTTTTGACCAACCCCTCGTAATAAAGACAACTGTATAGTAGAATTCGGATTGCTAGGAACATAATACCTGCAACTGCACCACAAAGCCGCATCCAGTGGAGCTGGAGAGGTCAGGGACGCTCTCCATGCAGGAGTCACGACACTGTGCAGGAAGGCAATCCACGCTTCGCTGCTTGATCAGATCACAAAAGTACCGGCTCGTAGTGAATTCTCAAAAACCGCTGACTGTGAAAGGTTAAACACGAGGCCTGTGACATAAGGCACGCGGACATTTTCGACCACTGCCGGTGTTTTCAATCGGGGTTGGCATTTATCATCAAATCACGTAGGTAAAAAATTAAAATTAATAAAAGTAAAAAATACAATTTTAAAAAATCATGACGTTTCGGAGGCAATACAAGCCTCCGTCTTCAGGTGGAACCGTCACAGCACGCTTGCTGTATCAAGTAAATGAGAAATTCCAAGAGATCCGACCCCGTATATATACTGGTTGAGGGGGAAGGAGCCAGGGCAGGCCCCTGGATTTTTATTTTACTTTTATTAATTTAATTTTTTTACCTACGTGACTTTACCGAAAAACCCAAGAATATGAATCCTTGCAGTCACCAAAGCTTCAAATCTAGAATTTATCATCAACTGGGGGAGGATGTTAGCCGTGGTCAGCGTTGCATATGGAGTCGAACAAGAGTCCGCCCGGAGTTTAAGTGCGATGAAAGCTGCGGTTATTTTCACGTCACATTCTCTCAACAGTAGAGGCGGCATCTGGTTTAGATAAGACGGGTGGGCGAACGTGAATGAAACAAGTCCCCAGACACAAACTACGAGTGTTGGGGTTTAGCGGAGGGCTCCAGACCCAAGTCCATCCGGCTGCTCGGGTACACACCACAGCAGTGGGGCATCCTGCCGGATGGAAGTGGTGACAGCCATGGGCAAGGTCACACATCTCACGAGAGATATTTGAGAGGGCCCGAGAGCTGGGTTTTGTCTGGTGCCAGGCTTTAGCCCTTTACAAGCCACTACATGCACATTGATGGGCCGTGCACCTCCAATTGGCATGGCTGGCTACGTAAGGTGTGAAAGAAGTTCTACATACATACATGCACGAGCACATTGGAAGCACATTCTCATTGAGAGAATGACGCCGTTATCAATCGATTACAATCCTACAAAGGGAAGAGCCACACGCTGGACGCAATTGTGTTTGCAACTTGTTTTGGCCAATATTGTTGTTGTTATAGTGCCTGCCTTTATCTTTTAAAACATCAAATGTTCAATCCGCGGCCGAATATTGACCGCGTTAGAAATTGCGAGGCGCTTTTCCTCCACCTTACTGTTTTGTTAAACTCTGGAATCGATGGTAAATATTCATGTGAAGCACGTGGGGTTTTTCGCGTCACGTGATCTGTATGTTATGATTAAAGTGAACTGTCGTTCAGCTGCCAATGTTGGTGCCCTTTTAACAGTCCAGTTTGCAGTTTTTTATCTGCACCGAGACTAATTTAATAACCGTGGTTTTTATGAACACATTAATTCCACTTCCGTACGAACTCCCACGTGGAATTGAATGTGTGGCATCAATGTAATTATGTATAGTATATGCAACACACGTCGATTATCTTGGATTAGAATGGTTCAGTTTCCTTATTTAATTTACATGACCACGTTTATCGACGCATCTTGGGCCTCTATGCTAACAGTAAAACACATTACAAGTGAGGATTAGGCTAAAGCCTCATCTTTTATGTGCTAATCATCGAATGTACTGTCAACAATTACGTGCAATGATATTGTCTATCTATTAAGTAATTAAACTTGTAAAATTTGTCTGTGAACTATGAATATTCCCGTTTTAAAACCAACGACTTTTCATTCACACAATGGGGCTGACTAGACACACCTTTTATAGAATGAGCGAAACGCTCCCACATGCGATCCACTTGGAGCGTAACGATTCAAATCGGTTGTCCAGTTTAAAGACACATCCATCAAATCGTGCGTCAACGAACCGATGCATTAGTATATCCAAATCGTGTGCAAAGAGGCACGGAGGAGATTGAATGCTTGGGATTGTGCTTAGAGACACAGGCACATATACATCAGACGACATGCTCACGTTAAAGATATAATGTAGAATATAATAGAGGTTTTTGGGTGAGGCCGCGTAAATATGAATGTCGTTAAACCCGCCAACACCCTACAACCAATTATTAAGGTCTGTCACGTAAGAAAAACTTTCAATTCGTTGCTGGTTCAGCACACACCCGGTGTGTTGGAGAGTAAATCCACCACATCGTTTACAATTCGAGTGCCGCGACGTTTCGCCAGTAATTACAACAACAACCAGCATCATCAGGCGACAGCCGGAGTTGTGGAGACATCCTCCTCCTGGTTCGTTCTTAAATAGACGGGGGGGGGGGGGGGGGGGGGGGGAATGTGATGTCGTCACTTGTAAGCCAATCAGCTGCGAAGGCCAGAGGGAATGCGGGGAGGGGGGTAATGTATGTGTCGTGGGTAATAAACTGGAGGAAGCTTACTCTGAGGCAACACGTTTATTACAACACAAACACACTACAACACAAAGGGGTAACGGCCCCTTTCACCCGATACTCTATGGAGGGATATCCTCTGGGCGAGCTCGCCTCCTACTGGCTATCACTACGCCTACACTGCTGGGGCTTGAGTCTTCTCTTGAGTCTTCACTGGTTATAAGCCGGAGTTCTCACTGGTACGAGCTCGAGTCGACCCTAACCAAGGGGTTCGGCTCTCTTCAGGGCTCCAGGTGAGGCTCTTCGGCCGGACGATGACTGCCGGGACCGCTCAGTGACCTGGCTTATATACAGGGTCCCGGCTGACTCCGCCCCTAACCACGCCTTCCTTCCAGGACCTTCTCCAAGGGCCTGGAGAATGATACTCGGGTTTCTTGGAATTTATCTCACTTGATACAGCTATCGTGCTGTGACTGTTCCACCTGAAGACGGAAGCTTGTGTTGCCTCCGAAAAGTCGTGATTTTTATTTTACATTTATAAAAAAAAATTTTACCTACGTGACTTTACCGAAAAAAAAACCTAAGAATATGAATCCTTGCAGTCACGAAAGCTTCAAATCTAGAATGATGCTCCCCCCAGGGATTGCCTCGGGCCAATGGGCCGTCCAGCAGGTTCAGTCTCCCTTCCGCTCCCTACTGGCACAAGCTAGTACTGCCGGCTATAGGCAGTGGCGATCATGTTCAACCATGCCACTATATTTGCATGTAACTTACAATTGATATGCATTATTCATAGGGTAATCAAAATACGTAATGCGCGTGCACATTATGTACGGACGCACGCCACGCATGCCCAATCCTGCCGTTTTGTTGGGTGCAAGAAATCGCAATCCGTGTTATTGGCTGCTCACAGTTAATTAATTTTGGACTTTCGAAGCAAAGTGAGTTTGACCCCTACGGAGCCTGATGTGAGGCGAGCACACAGGGAGGGTCAGGGAGGAGGGGATTGGGTGCGAGGGGTAACCCCCCCTCCTCCGGGGATGGTCAGGAATTAAATGGCGATCTAGTTGATGAGTTCATCAATTGCGCGGATAAGTTATTTCTCCCATAGTGTTTCTCCTCTTCATTTTGGCGTTAACACCCGACCCCCCTCCTATCTTGATTTGAAGCTTTCGTGACTGCAGGAATCCATACTCTTTGGTTCTTTCGGTAAAGTCACGTAGGTAGAAAATTAATAGATCACGACGTATCGATCGCAAACTCTATCCTAGGGGTCGACAAACAAAATAACAAAAAGAGCCTCTTTTTTTCGACTTGGGTGGAGAGGGTGGGGATGGGCTGAGTGGGGAGAGTGGGCTGGGTGGGGGGTGAGAGGGGTGGGGCTGGGTGGGGAGGGGAAGGTGGGGAGGGGCTGGGTGGGGAGGATAGGGCTGGGTGGGGGGAAGGAGGGGTGGAGCTGGGTGGGGAGGGACTGGTCACCCCGTGGTGCCCTTATAAAACTCAACGTTTAACCTACTCATGCCGGCTTGTGCCCACCCTCACAGTCGGCCATATTTGCGGAATACACCACGCCGCCGTTGACCCTGGCCATTGACCGAGCAACCCAACGTTCCTACCAGCTCCATCCGCAGGAATGTGTTTGCTCCTGAAGATTCCAAATATGTTGTACGGCATGTGCTCTAAACACGGGAAATGTAAAAGTTGTATAATCTCCTGGAGATGTATATGCCACTGGTTCTTCACGTTATGTAGATGTAGATACCACTGGTTCTTCACGTTCTGTAGATGCCACTGGTTCTTCATGATCTGCAGATGTAGATGCCACTGGTTCTTCACGTTCTGCAGATGTAGATGCCACTGGTTCTTCACGTTCTGCAGATGTAGATGCCACTGGTTCTTCACGTTCTGCAGATGAAGATGCCACTGGTTCTTCACGTTCTGCAGATGTAGATGCCACCACCGCCATCTATTGCGCGGCGGTTGGACTTGCGACTCTCGGTCTGAACAGGCAACTGGACGTACGGGCAGGATTGTTCGTATCTCTTAAAGTTCGTAAGTCGAATGTTCGCAAGTGGACTAGTTACAGTTCATGAGACGAAGAATCAAGCCATGACCTGGCATTTGTAATTGTGACAATCGTCAAATCTTCGAGGGGGAGACACTACTGACTGTCTAGGTCAAAGTCTAACGTGGTCCTAACTGCGCAGTTTCCCATGGTGCATTCACTGAGTGAGTGAGTTGAGTTCAACGTGAGTGAATTGTTAAGTGTGGCCAGTGAATGGAGTCATTTTTTCCCAGCACACTAACACAGCTGCTATGTTGATGTACTCTTGGAAAAACAAAATTATTTTGACGGACTGATTTGTATAACATTTTACAATGCTGGCTTTATTGGCCTGCTATCTGTACCCTTTATGATGGGTTGCCATGGTATTGTGGGTTTTCTCCAGGAAACAATAGCCCCGAAGCATGGTTGCGAATGTTTATGGTTTTGGACCCAGTGACTTAAACATGATCGTTCCTTGGTTGTGCCATGGGACAGTGTGGGCATTTAAATTCACTCTGCCAGATGTCTCAAGAGGTCAGCGCCCAGTTGGTACCGCTGAAATCCAGAATTCGAACCCAGGCTTTCGCCCGAGGTGACTGCCTTCGCCCGGTCACTACACACACACAAACCCATGACATTAAAACAATTTCACGTCAAATTTGGCTAAATCTCTGCTCTCGAGTAGCAATGGTGAACCGCCAATGATCCCAAAGCTTAGGGTTAGGGGGAGGCTTGCGAGCTCCTCGGCTGGGTCGAGTCATGGCGAGTGACCTTACGAGCGACCCACCCTGGCAGGAACCGACAACAGCGGCCAGTCGAGGGTGGGTCGAGCCAGGTGAGAGTGTCAACTACATCCCAGGGTGCTCAGCTTCCTCGACGTCGTCCTATTTTTCTTCACGTCGGCCGAAAACCCACCACCAGCTACTGAGGTTCACGCGACGCACCACACCACGCATCTCGCCCGCCCCCCCCCAGTGAAGAGCTGGCAGTCAACCGACTCCTTCACGGTGCCATGGATCGAGGGCAATCGCCTCCCCAACCCCCGTGAACCCTGAACACATTCCTGCGGAGGGAGCTGGTAGGAACGTTGGGTTGCTCGGTCAATGGCCAGGTGTCAACGGCGGCGTGGTGTATTCCGCAAATATGGCCGACTGTGAGGGTGGGCACAAGCCGGCGTGAGTAGGTTAAACGTTGAGTTTTATAAGGGCACCACGGGGTGGCCAACCCCTCCCCACCCAGCCCCACCACTCCCGCCCACCCTCCCCACCCAGCCCCCCCCCCCTCCCCATCCTTCCCCTCCCTCCCCACCCAGCCCCTCCCTGCACGACGGACACAATAATCCCCTGTGGGCTGGTGTAACCAGGAGGTTCCTACCAGTATAACCCAACGTCATCGCCAAATGCAAGAGGGACACTGTTTTTCCCAATGTTCAGGAACTGCTGTGCGAAACTTGTTTTACAATTTCTGCCGTCTGCATGGCTGGCCTCTACTCACCGATGGGCACGGTGGGGCTACGTCCGGTGCGAAAGAAGTTCAACGTAACGTACAAACAGGAGTGGTTCTGGTCTCCGTATTAACTTCTATTATACGGCACCTACAATAGTGCTGTTTGTTACTGGACGCCCGCTGTTCTGGACCTTTGGGGTCTGTGCTCAACAACCGCGATTAAAGAAAACAAACGCTGGAGTGTCAATAATTTCCATTTATTTCGTTTTTAGTCAAAATGTACAAGCCACGGTGTGGTGGATTCACGGGGTCCTAAATACATTAAAATCATATCCGGTTCTAATTTAATTGGGCGCAGGGGCTCACTGCCAAAGCGCCAAACATTTCAATGGTCAGGGCTGTCCGGTTCACGTGGCAATGTCACGTGGCTTCGGGAACCAGGCACAGTTCACCACATTTGCAAATGTCCTTCTCCCACTCGCATCTGAAACTGGCTCACACGTGGAACCCAGTGGGGACCATCCACCAGGCCGCACGGGGCTGTAAATATTCACATTGGCATCGCCTGCAATTTAGGTACAGGGACATTTTTTTTTATTAAGCCACTTCAGAATACATTTTCAAGACGTGAAATGTAAGCCTCGGAGACACTCTCTTGGTCTAAGGCATCCTACCCTGAAGCAATGAACACGATCCTTGAATGTATCCATGTATTTCACTTTCACGCCCTAGTTAGTGTAACATGCACATCAACGTATAAACGTCCGCGGCGCGCTGGCATTATTGTACACATTTGTAAGTGGAAAAAGAATGACGTCTGCTATATATTTAACAAAAGTATGAAAACTTTCTATCTTGTGGGAGGTTTTTTTTAACATATACTTACAAGCGGTTGTTGAAACGAGCCAAAACATGACGGTTACACCACGCCGGCACTTCTCATCGGAGCACAACGCGGATATCACCGAAACAAAACTCTTCAGAACTGGGGTCCTGCTTCTACGCCTCGATGTTTCACCGCAGAGGGAGAGCGCCGGAGAGCATGGGCAGCAGGACAAATACGTTTCACACGGTGGGGACTTGCCTACAGGGTGCTTCCAAAAAATGTTAACACTTTTATGGGATTTTAGTTTTTAATGGAAAAAGAACATGATAACAAATGTGATGGTAATAGCTTCGAAAAGTCACTCTCCACTTGTTCGCCATCGTTGTCAACGCATGCCTGGAATCTTCTCCGGGTGGTCTCCAGAGGCATATTTCTTGTGGCGTTGTTGCAAATTCTCAGAAGTGTTCAAATTCGTTTGAAGCACCCTGTATTTGTATATTGCCAACTCCATAACAGAGGTTTTAGGGGTTAGGTTTTTAGGGTTAGATCGCATAAATGTGCCGTTAAGCCCGCCTCCACCCGACACAGCCAATTAGTAAGCTTTGTCACTTAGACAAAACATGGCAATTCGTTACAAGTACAGCACACCGGTGTAATGGAGAGCAAACCCACAACATTTACAATTCGAGTACGATGTTTCACCAGTAATTACAACTAGCATCATCAGGCGACAGCCAGAGTTGCGGTCGCGAATGCCGACGTGTTAAACCAATTTTGACCACTGATAACAATTTCCAAAACGACATCGTGTATAGACTGTGCTGCGCTTCGAGCATGAAGTTTTGGCATGGAAATACGGCGAAAAACAAAAAATGACAAATCTAACCATGGCTGGCTCAACGTCGAAACATTCCACGCGAACATTAAGCGACATCACTTGGCTAGGAACTGGTTCCCCCCCCCCCTCCCCAACTTTCAGGTGTATTTTTTGCACGATTCGACATAGCACGTCAATTCGGCTGCCGCCGTCGGCCCTGCGTGTGCAGAGTCGCGTCAGGGTAAAAATCCAAGCGCGGCCGTCGCATTTGAACGCGCAAAAAAGTAAAGCGCGAAACAAACAAAAAATGCGTTCGCGTCGTCTTATATACACCTCTGCAACGCACACAATAAAAACACAGTCGGACTTACAGTGTCTCACACATTGATGTAAATTTATACAATGCATTAAAAAATATTTTTAGGTTTTCCCATCCCCTCCCCCGCCCCAACTCTTCCCATCATCAAGCATGAAATGTCAGTGCATTCTCGCGCGGACTGCGTCGGGTCTGCATGTTGAGAAGTGCAGAGTGCACGCGCTCCGGTCGGCGTTTACAGCAGCATGTGCGCGCAACGCGTTTAAGAGGTTCGTTTTTTCCATAAATATCAAGACCGTCCCTGAAGGGTGAATTGACATTTGAGGAATTTTCTCCCCTTTGAACGACGTCCACCACAAAGGGGCAATTCCTCGAGGAGCATCTCAATTCCATCGAAGATGATCCACAAACGGTGCACAGAGGGAACCCGTGACTGGCCCACTGACCCAAGTCCGAGCTCAACATCCTCGGCATTCGTTCCCAGCAGTCGAAGGTGAAATTGCACAGCTGGATAAGGGCCTCCCCCCACCCCACCGCCCCCCCTCCTTGCCGCGTCGCTTGTAGAGGCCTCGATGCCGTACTTCACCGGCACTGGCTCGGGACAACAGGGAGCGCAGATATTGTAAAATAATACAGTACAATAGATTTTTCCTCACCAATCTCGACTCGCGGCGTAGCCACGCGACAGCCTGCACCTGCATTCATGCCGTGGTCGCCCGTCCAAGCACTATTGAGGCTCAACGCTGCCTAGCTTCTGAAATATGAAAAGATTGGTCGCATGTCAGGTGATTTGGTCGAAGAGGTGAAAAATAGTTACACCATCATTTGCCGACTGCTAGTAGCTCATGAAGAGGCTTGCACGTCCTCTTTAAAGTAGATCTAGAACAATTCGTTCATGATGTCGTGATGTCTCGTACTTTTAATTCCCCACGTAGATGGGAAAATTTAAAGTACGTGGACGGTGGTGCACGTTTCCACGCAGTGACATCACAAGCAGCCACTCTTTAAGAGCCGTTAGAGCGTTCCTCTCCAACCCAAAATGCCACAAAAACCTTACTCCAGCAGCATTGCTGAAGGCGTTAATGGGCCAGAGCTCTTTATCTGGGAAGATCCGATTGACCTGCCGCGTGGCACAAAATACCACGTGCCGCTTAACGTGCCCAAACTTTTTACGCCCGATCACCAAGTGAGCAACTCGATACGCAAGTTCGCATCCCGTTGGTACAAATCTAGGCCGTAGTATCCCAGGTTGCCCAACAAGAGATTGAGAAAAAAAGAAAAAAATAAGTACGGTGCTGTAGCCCTGCAGTAACGTTGTGACACCCACTAGAGAGGCTGCGGCCATGATGACATCATTTTATCTCTCGTTAGCAAAGCCGCAAATTGATGTCAAGGCAGCTTGAGACGGTCTGAGAAAACACCGACAATAGCTACTTGCTTTTTTGTTTGCAATGCGTCCTCCTTAAAAAGTATTCTTTTTTTTTTCAAAAGGGTTTTCAAATTGAACAAATGTAGCTCATCTCGGAAACTCGCATTTGGTCCCAAGTTTACTCAGGACAATGTCGGGCCTGTAAATTCCTCAAGGCGTTTTTGTTGTTACAAATTGAACACAAAGAATGTCGCTCTCTCTCCCACGTGGCCGTGGAAAGTGAACTTTATAAAATAACAAAAAATGAAGTCCATTTTGCTTGCATTCTCTTTGCTGTCATGTTCTAGATGTTTAATTATCCACATTGCAAAAGAGTATTTGCAAGCAGCGTAGCACGAAAGGTCTGGAGCAATCATGAGGGGTTTCCCATCGACACAGCAAAGAGAAAGATGCCCTGTATAGCCTTAACATAATGTTGGGGCAAGTGCTGTTCACGAATACCTATGAAGGCCGGAACGGCACACGAGGGGGCGGGTGGCCAACACCACGCGCGGCCGCCTTTGTCTCCCCAGTGGCGATGTTTTACACACCGCACCAGGTACTCATTTGAGGCCGAGTCGATCTAGGGGAAAGCCCACGACCAGTTCAGGATAATCCGTACTCGTGTTGGCCGCGAGCGGGAATACTAACCCGGGTTGCCGGGTTCGCAGCGCGCTAACCGCTACACCACCGCTCCTCCTCCAACACACACACACACGCTCCACAGACTGCGCAATAACGCTGGCAGCGGCTAACACTACCGACGCCACCGGCATCACCTGCCACTGCAGCGCCATCAGTGTCCCTTGTGCGTGGAGCATTGCCTTGGGACTATTGTCGACACGATGGACCACCACACCACAGGTACAATAGGCCTAGCCTGCACTGGTGTAATTCACATTGGACACATTTGGCAAGTCAGGATGAGATATCGGTGGAAAGCCCGGGATGTACAGGTGCCAAACCCAGTCGATACCAATGACAAGTGCATTCAGGAGTGGGATCAAGTTCCATGCTTTCAACGACATCAAACCCGGTGCAAACTGGTAGCTGTACACTTCTGAGTAAGGCCTGTCAGCAGAGGTTGTATACCACGTACCGATGGATGGCAAGTGAAGTCTGTGCAAGTGGCAAGCCCAATTTATACTTGCAGTCAGCCCAGTTTGTAAAAGACAAACCCACAAAGACAGGTATTGAAAAGTGGTGGTAAGTTTAATGCATGCAGCGGAGGCAACAGCAGTCTGTACAGGTGGCAAGCCCAATGTACACTGGAGGTGGACAAGCCTGGTGTGAATGGTAAACCCATCTATACAGGTGGCAAGCTCAGTGTGGGAGTGCGCTGAGCGTGCTACGGGAGGGATGGATGGATGGATGGATGGGAGGGAGGGAGGGGCGTAGCGGCACTATCGCACTTTCTTCTGCTGCCGCACGCGGTAAATGTCATGGGCGGGCGGGGTGGTAGAAGTCATCGCCCGTTTAGCGTTCGAGGACGACGCCGAAGAGACGGAGGACGAGGACGCCCCTCCGCCCGCCCTCGCCTTGTCGTCCTCCTCGTCCGAGTCGTCCGCCGCCGAGCGCTTCACCGCCCCCGACCTGCGCACGGTGTCGTGACCCCGGTGGGAGCCGCCGTCGGCGCTGCCGTTGTTCCCCTCGGCCGCCGACGCCGTGGCCGCGGCCGCCTCGGCCGACGCGTGGCTCTGGGAGATGAGCTCGACCGCCTTTCCCACCGCTGGGTGTTGGGAAATCGTGAGGGGCGGGGAGGTGGGAGACAAGTCGCACGGCTGAGCACCCGTCATTCAGCTTAACAGAGAAACTTCAGAATATTTGCAGTCGGCACACAAATATTATAGGGGAGCCACGGTGGCTATGAGATGTTAACTACCTCGCCTGGTATACAGGAGGTCGTGGGTTCGATCTCTCTCCCCGTGGTCGTCGCGGGGATTTTTATCCTGGTTCTCCAGTTTTTCCCTCCACATGTAGAATCAACGTGCGTTTCGAGTATTTTTGCTGCTATCAATTTCCAAATGACGATAAGCCACTTCGTTGAGCTACCATTTGTGGCCAGGCCACTTCTGAAAAAGATCTACGCAGCTCACCAAAATAGTCTACGTTTTTTTAGAATGGCACCGCAACGGAAAATGTAATTCTCAAGAGACGTTCCGGAGTTCAGCTCCGTCTTGTCTGGAAGAGGCGGTGGGGGTGAGAGATTTACAACCGGCAAACATAAAGTACATTGCATCGAGGATACTCCGATGTCAAAGGAGTTGCTCGCGGTTTAATAAAGCGTGACGTCTGAAAACTCGCTCAGGAATATTTTATTTTGGTTGCGGTGTCATTAAGCCTGAATAAAAAAAAATCATGTTTGGATTCGTTAATGTATGTACGTACGTTGAACTTCTTTCGCACCGTACGTAGCCAACCGTGCTAATCGGAGGTGCGGGGAAGGGACAACAAACTAAACACAAAAAAGCAGTTCTAGATGATTTAAAAGTGCATAACTCCCAGTGACTTGCTAATATCGGAAGAGCATTCCAGACGGCCGCAGAAGCGCATCTGAAAGCGCGCGATGTGGTGGCCGTCTTTGTTCGATGGCTTAGCCAAAAACCGCTGCTGTGTGGATGACCGGAGTTCGCGTGATGACGGTTTATGTTCCTTGACGAGATCAGCAAGGTATTGTGGTTCATTGGTGGCAAGCACTCTGTGTGTAATAATGCAATGTATGGACGGGTGTGGAGGCGCGTATCCATTTTCACTTTAAGCAAACGCAGCCCAACGTGCTCCCCATACATACTCTCCGGGAGCTTGAATTCCCTGAAGAGGTCGATCAACTTGTCCACGTGCACGAACGGGCCCTGAAAACAAGCAGGATGCACGCAGGGGGTCGCGAGTCAACGATCGTCCCTCTCGGCCAGGTTAAGTTGTAAAAAGCCCGAAGAAAATAACAACCCCACTTTAAATATAACAACCCCATTCTAGAAACATGCGTTTAAGAGTTTTTGGCTGCTGCTGTAAATTTCCGTGTGATGTTATCGCACTTCGGTGAGCTGTCATTTGTGGTACCCAGGATGCTTCTGCAAAAGAGCTACTATATAGCTCAGTGAGCTTTAGCTGGTAAAATAAAAATAGTTTTAGTTTGAAATGTAGCTATTAGGCTGGGGCGCCATAAGAAATCACAAATGCGTCAATGCGAAAAATGTCCAGGTGTCTGGCTTAGCGATCCTTAAGCAGACAAACAAAATCCCATCTCTCATAAAGAATCGGAATCTTTATTTATCCTGGAGAAATCCGATGAGCTATGATGCTCTTTTTCACGGATGTTCTCCTGCCGCCATAACTACACCACCACGTTTAATAACAACTCCACTCTTTATTATCTCAACCACTATAATCTCAAGTACAATGCTATAATTGTTGTCAAGCGCCTTGGACTAAGGCGCTATTGTATAGATCGAGATAAGATGCCATATCTACAGTCCGCTCGAGTAGAGGTCTTTCCGCATAGCAGTGACGTAAGCGAGCACTTGCACAATCATGTACGTATGTTGAATGTACAATATGCTGAACTTCTTTCGCACCATACGCCGCCAACCCATGGATAATCGGAGGTGCGATTTTGTCTTTACCTCCGCCTCCTCGTAACGAGGGGCGGTACAATCTAAAGCATTTCTTAATGAGGAGCGGTACAATCTAAAGCGTCTCCTAACAAGGGGCGTTACAATCTAAAGCATTTCTTAATGAGGAGCGGTACAATCTAAAGCGTCTCCTAACAAGGGGCGGTACAATCTAAAGCATTTCTTAATGAGGAGCGGTACAATCTAAAGCGTCTCCTAACAAGGGGCGTTACAATCTAAAGCATTTCTTAATGAGGAGCGGTACAATCTAAAGCGTCTCCTAACAAGGGGCGGTACAATCTAAAGCATTTCTTAATGAGGGGCGATACAATCTAAAGCGTCTCCTAACAAGGGGCGGTACAATCTAAAGCATTTCTTAATGAGGAGCGGTACAATCTAAAGCGTCTCCTAACAAGGGGCGGTACAATCTAAAGCATTTCTTAATGAGGAGCGGTACAATCTAAAGCATCTCCTAACAAGGGGTGGTACAATCTAAAGCATTTCTTAATGAGGAGCGGTACAATCTAAAGCGTCTCCTAACAAGGGGCGGTACAATCTAAAGTATTTCTTAATGAGGAGCGGTACAATCTAAAGCGTCTCCTAACAAGGAGCGGTACAATCTAAAGCATTTCTTAATGAGGAGCGGTACAATCTAAAGCGTCTCCTAACAAGGGGCGGTACAATCTAAAGCATTTCTTAATGAGGAGCGGTACAATCTAAAGCGTCTCCGAACAAGGGGCGGTACAATCTAAAGCATTTCTTAATGAGGATCGGTACAATCTAAAGCGTCTCCTTACAAGGGGCGGTACAATCTAAAGCATTTCTTAATGAGGATCGGTACAATCTAAAGCGTCTCCTAACAAGGGGCGGTACAATCTAAAGCATTTCTTAATGAGGATCGGTACAATCTAAAGCGTCTCCTAACAAGGGGCGGTACAATCTAAAGCATTTCTTAATGAGGAGCGGTACAATCTAAAGCGTCTCCTAACAAGGGGCGGTACAATCTAAAGTGTCACCTGGAAGCTTAAGGGGGGCGGACAAAGCTTCATGAGGTGCACGGCGGCGGGAGGAACGGGGAATACTCCTCCCGGAACAGGGTGCAGGCCAGGAGCTGCGGTGAGGAAGCACAGGGAAAGGGAAACCACAATCAGAGAGGGTCGCTACCGCGAGTCTTCGATTCCCACCGGGGGGGAAGGACAAAAAACTCAACGCAAAAAGCAGTTCTAAAGAAATGACGTTTCGATTGCAACACAAGCAATCATCATCAGGTGGGAAAACCACAGCAAGCGCCTTATTCCAAGGCGTTTTACTACAATTGCTGTGGTTTTCCCACCTGATGATGATTGCTTGTGTTGCAATCGAAACGTCGTGATTTACTTTATTTTATTTTTTGCGTCTTCCAATTCCTGCCGTTCAGCCCTCCCAATGCCGCACACGTGTGTGGGCCCGAAATGCGTTCCGTGTTTACGCAGGTTGTGTGTGTGTACGTATGTTGAACTTCTTTGCACTGTACGTAGCCGACCATGCTAATCGGAAGTGCGGGAAAGAAACAACAAACTAAGCACAACAACAGGCAGTTCTAAATAAATTTTCAATCTAGATGATTTTAAAGTGCATAGCTCCAGCGGCTTCTTAATATCTGAAGGAAGATTGTTCCAGACGATCGCAGAAGTGCATCTGAAAGCGCCACGCGATGCAGTAACCGTCTTTATTCGAAGGCTTAGACAAAAGCCACTGCTGTGTGGATGACCGGAGTTCACATGGTGATGGGTTTATGTGCCTTGGTGAGATCAGCAAGGCATTGTGGTTCATTTGTGGCAAGCACTTTGTGTGTAATGAGCGCGAAAATGTTGGTTTTAATGTTGGTGAAGTTGGTTTTCAGCCAGTCTCTTGGTGGCGACCTCACACCCCGATACATTTATAGCTGTTACAAACGTTATTTGTCATTTGTGCTTACTCATTTTCAGTTTTAAAACTCGTAGGTTTAGATAAAATCTAATTACAGATTACAGGTTACTTTAACCATTGCACTTCATTCAGTTTCAAGTGCCACCGTTCAATATTTTACGAGATGAGAATCTCGGTGAGATTCACGAACGTTGCCGGTGGCAAGAGGAGACCTTTTGATGATACTTGATATTCAAAAACCACCCACAACGGTCTCCACATGTGAATTAAGTCTGTGGGCGCTTGAGGTGCAATTTACAACTTCACTCTGCTGTCCGGATATGGAATTCCCTCCCTGAACACATTGTCAGCGAAATCACTTCAAATGCCGAGCGTATGGTACATCTCCTAACGTCACCACACACCTGCAGTGAATCAATAAATATGCCGATTAGATCTACTAATGTCTGATATGGCTGTTGTTCACAATTGCACCCAATATATTTAAAAAAACAATGCATAAATCACCAGACGGTTGCAAAAAATGGAAATCGTCACACCTCCCCGTACGAAACGACTGCGGACAGAGCACGCACCGCCAAGCCACTCGGAGACGCGACATGGACGCACGCACTCACATAGACGCACGCACACACATGGACGCACGCACACACACGGACGCGAACACTCACGAGCCATGTGTCTTGGCTGAAACGGCGTCATCTGGTGGATGTTTGGTTTGGGGTATTCAGGCTTCCTCGTTACGTCCTCCTCCGAGGAGGTCGGCGCGGTCGACGGGACGGACACAGGGTCTGGCTGGGACGACGTCATCTTAGCGCGCGTTACGTCCTGTACGAGAGAGAGACAGGGACACGGAGTCAAACACGGAGGGGGAAAAAGTCAGGCTGCGAGGATGACCGGAGTTCGCGTGCAGGCTGCCTTGCATGGGGATTTTGGGGGGGGGGGGGGGCGGGGGGTGTGGTCACCTTGTATCCCAGAGCCTTGAGCTCGGACGAAGAGCAGGGGTACAGGTCCATGAACTGGTAGCGGTCGACAAGCAGCGCCGTCTCCTTGCCATCGTACTCCTCGCGGAACGCGGTGAAGCGCCGCTTCTCCACCTTGAGGATGCTCGCCAGGTCGCCGATGCTGCTCTCGAAGCTCAGGAAGCGCGCCCAAATCTCGCTGGGGTCACGGCGACGGCGGCGCGGCGCGTCCACGTGGGAGAGGAACGAGAGAGGGGGGCGGGCGAGAATGCGTAAGCTTCATCCGGCCACTGGTCTCAGGAAAGGCGGCGATGTAAACCGTGAAATTCAACGCGTAGCTTTGCACAGCCGATGGCACGATTCGTGTGTTGATTTCACGGTACTTCCACAGAAATGATCTGGGCCAAAATGTACGTTGCGATACCCTCTCCGCCACCCGACACAGCCAAATGAATTCAATTAACAAGCGTTTAACCGGCCGATGATGCATTTTTCAACTCACCCGTAAGTTGAAATTTACGACATTCATTTGGGCAGATCGTTGTGTGGCCTAACCCACGAATCAATTATAAATCAGTGGTAACTGCGACTGATGAAAATGATGAGGACAATGATGGGGATAATGGGTTCGATGCCGACCCTAACGGCCTGTATATTTGGAGTTTGGACATCTCTCCCCGTGGTCGTGTGGATTTTTCTCTCCATTTTTTTCCCTTCACATTTAAAATCAAAATCACGCATTTAGAGTATTTGGCTGCTATACGTGATAAGCCCACTTCGTTCACCTATCCTTTGTGGCTAAATCGCTTCTGAAAAAGAGCTTCTGTAATAGCTCAGTGGGCCTTACCTGGTAAAACTAAATATAGTAAACGATCAAAATTGCGATGATGGCAACGATTTTGGTGAGAGTGATGCCACACTACCTGGATTTTTCAGGCGGTAGGCTTCCAGACGTCAGCACTCGCTCAAACAGCACTCTGGTGTTGTTGTCCTCTGCAGGGGAAAAAAATTATCAGCGTCAACACCGGTGTGCGAACTTCACATTGACAGCGGTCACGGTCGTAATCATCATCGGTCACAGCCATAATAATAACAAAAATTATTCTTCTTTCATATGGCATGTAAGCAACATGCCATACAAACTGTTGCTAACATGCCACAATTTACATTTACAAGGCACAATTCATTCAGGGATCTCAGTGCGCCATTGACAAAGTTGGGAAATATAAATTCTACAAAGTCCAGAGTCCACTACATGGGAAGTGTCGGCCAGGCGAAACAGTCGAGTCTTATTTTTGTTAGTCTATAGTCTCAAACCACAAAAGCAGTACTCATCAACTCCAGAATGACGATGGGATGGGATCAGTCAATCCTTTACTCCCATTTTAACTCACTGGCATCACCTGCTCATGAAGGATTACGTTCATTTGGCAAACAGCAGGATTTGTTTTCGTTTTTGTAACAATTCAAAAGTCACGCCGCTTTTTCCGCGCAGTCCGTGTCAAAAGACGGGAATGGTAAAACGCCGCCCGCTCACCATTGAGATGCGAGAGGTAGTCAATGTACGCGAGGATATACTCGGGCGTGTCGCCATATTTCTTCAATCCCAACTCGAAAATCTTGAACGCGACCGCCTTGTCCTGTAAGCAGCAACAACAACAAAAAACAAATAAACGTCAGGAACTGACTTGACAAAAAAAGTGTGAATGCACGCATGCCTGTCAACTTAGAATCAGAATAGTTATTTATAGTGGAGGAGGAATCCATTGAGTTATAAAGCTCTTTTTCACAGATGTCCAGGAGGGGCACGGGGTCAGAACGTGGCAACAACAATACAACAACACGGTAGAAGTGCAAAGTAGACAAAAGGTAAACAAAGCACGAAAAAACACGTTGAATGTACAAATGATTATTTCACTGATATTAGGTTTCATGAATTTTTTGTAAGCTGTTACTATTGCTGTGATTATAGTCTTTTGCAAATGTATTCATTTTATTTATACTTCATATTTAACTCAAATGCTTTACATGACGTTTATGGTTTTGATGTGTTAATGTATTAAATCATCGATTCCTTGATTTGATATTTTTACATATTTTCACGGCATCTGTAAAAAAATGAGACATTTAACAATGTTCACTATCATTGGACAAAGGATTATAATTAGGCCTTTCAAATCATTCCCTCCCCCCTCGCTAACCGATGAAGTGTCAACATTCAAGATCGCAATTCGATCCACCAACATTCTTTCGCTTGAACATTTGCGTTGTTCAATGAGCCGACTCGTTTTTCAAACGAACCAACAGCAACAACCCCGTTCTGTTGAAAAACACTGAAAAAGTGGAAAACCCATCATCCAAAACAAGATTCTTGATTCTGAAACATCCCAGGAGACCAGCGCCACCCTTTTTTTTCCCCCAGCATGCCTTGCTGCAGTAGTACTCCATGAGGGCGGCCGCCACGTAGACGTGGTGCCGCGTGCGAATGTCCTCGCGCGCCTTCTTGAACACGGTGCGGCCCGCCTTGATGCCTTCAGCGCGCCGCGCAAACTTCATGTACTGGATGTAGACCTGGGGGGGGGGGTGAGGGGCAGACACCGTCGTGTGTAGCGCCGGGGAAAGAGATGACATGCGTGTGACTAAAAAAAACACTAAACTTTGTTTATTTTACCAGGTAAGGCTACCACTGAGCTATATAGTAGCTCTTTTTTCAGAAGCGACCTTGCTATTACATATGATAGCTCAATGAAGTGGCTTATCACGTGGGCATTTATAGCAGCAGCCAAATACTCTAAACGCGTGACGTTGATTCAAAACGTGGAGGGAAAAACCGGAGGACCCGGAGAAAAATCCACGCGACCACGGCGAGAGAGAGACACGCAAACTCCAACTATACAGGCGTCAGGGTCTATATAGAGCCCACAACCTCCTGTATACCAGGCGAGGTAGTTAACATCTCAGTGCAGTGGACACCTATTGGCTATCTTGCCATGGATCGCGATGATGATGTATTTTATTGACACGGAAGCAGCACCGGTCCCAAGCCACCAGGCCGCGTGTTCGTGTGTGAGAATGCATCGGCGACAACTCACCAGCGTGGGGTCGATGTCCTCCACGGCAGCCAGGCGGCTGTAAATGCTGTGCACCTTCTCGTATTTCATGCGGCTCTGAGGGAAAAACAGAGGCGGGTGGGCAGGTGGGCGCACACGCTCGAATCAGACCACTTAGGGGGCATACGCTCAGCACATTTGGCCTCAGGGTCGGGATCGAACCCACGACCCTCCTGTATACCAAGCGAGGTAGTTAACATCTCCTAGCCACCGTGATGATGATAAGAGAGAGACACGCAAACTCCAAATTTCCAGCAGGCGTCAGGGTCGGGATCGAACCCACGACCTCCTGTATACCAGGTGAGGTAGTTAACATCTCATCACCGTGGCGCCCCCCAGCCAGACCCCAGTAGGGGGCGCCATCCCCTCGGCTATTTGAGCAGACGCTCTCCACTGTGGGCTCAGTTAGAGATGCTCTGCCGGTGGAGGATGCAATCGTCAACAACGCAGCAGGCTCTTCATTGTGCGTTCTAAGCGCACAACACATTTGCCCAGTTATGTCCCACGGACATAACAGCTATATTCCACAGACATAACAGCTATATTGCACAGACATAACCCTCCCACTGGCATCAATTGGGCGGTGACACAATTCAAACCGCTGAAGCCGTGCAATAATAACCAGGTAGCGTGTGTGCACGTTGGCTGCTGAACCGCGGTCTATGTCCTGTACGTATGTATGCATTTTAACACGTAGGCTTTCGCGACCAATATTATGAGTATGTATGCATGTTAAACTTCTTTCCCACCGTACGTAGTCAACCGTGCCAATCGGAATTGCCGGTAAGAAACACAAATGGTCAGACTGCGGATAACACAAAGATCCCCCGGATAGCCTTAGCAGACTGTTGGGGCAAGTGCTGTTAGCGAGTAGCACATATTAAGGCTGACACGGCATACGGGGGGTGGGCGGCCAACACCACGCCCTGCCGCCTTTGTCTCCCCAGTGGCGATGTTTTACACACCGCACCAGGTACTCATTTGAGTCCGAGTCGACCTAGGGGAGGCCCAGGACCGTTTCATATCATCGTCACTGATGTTGGTGACCGTGAGCGGGAATCGAACCCGGGTCGCCGGGTTCGTAGTGCAGCGCACTAACTGCCGACGCTACACACACACACCTCTTCGAAGTCTGCGTACGCGAAGTAGAGGAGCATGTTTTTGCGTAGCAGGGTGCTGATGGCACGCTCATAGATGGCGGCCGCCTCGTCGCTGAAGAGTTTCGAGTTGTTGATGTCCTGAGGCGGAAACAGAAGTGGCGGGAAATCGGTTAAACTTGGGCAAGCGAGGTGAAGTTGCGTGCACGTGTGTTTGCCTGCCAGTGTACATCGTTCCAGACGACGGATTGCCGAGGTAAATGCAATGGATGTGAATCTGCCTGTAAACTGTGTACAGCTACACCATGCTGATGAAACCCAAAAACGTAGAAGCTAAGGGTGCACTGATATTTAAAAATTTCTATTTTACTGGCACGGGGAAGTAAGACCTTGATTGTTGCTTGCTACGCGCGCCCTCAGTATATACAGGCCAAAAGTCCGTCTGTGTGCGTGAAGGATGCTACTGAGCAGATGGAGGCAGTCGCCCCCCCTCCAGTAATAGGGCAGAGGAGCGACGCTCACAACGAATGGAGCGTCGGGCGGCTAAAACACAGCAAAAATTGGCACAGTAGCGGGCACAGATAACGCATCGGCCAGTCATCTCAGTCAGTCAACCCACGACACCTGGGTCTGTCCCGTGACCTCCTGCCAGCGAGCCATCGCCACTTCACGTGATCGCTTCAAAGTGCACCTAGCTTGGCACAAGTGCCACGGTGACGTCGCCGCCACTTAGTGATGAATGGCGGCCATCGTTCTGGTGGTTTAGGTTGCGTCACGTAGACAGGCCCCTTACCCCCTTCTCCGCGAGAAGCTTGCTTGAGTGCTCCAGGTATTGCGCCGCTTCGTACCAGATGTCGGGGTGGTGGCCGAGCACCAGCAGGCACTGCTCGTATGCAAACATCACTGCACACAAAACAAACAAAGACCCCCCCACGTGTAGCCTTAACAAACTGTTGGGACAAGTGCTGTTAGCAAGCACCTATGAAGGCCGGAACGGCACATGAGGGGGTGGGGTGGCCAGCACCACGCCCGGCCGCCTTTGTATCCCCAGTGGCGATGTTTACACACCGCACCAGGTGCTCGCTTGAGGCTGAGTCGACCTAAGGGAAGCCCAAGCCCGGTAAAGATAATCATCACTGGTGTGTTGGCCGTGAGCGGGAATCGAACTTGGGCCGCTAGGTTTGTAGCGCAGCGTGCTAACCACTAAACACGCACACACACGGGCGCACACACGGGCGCACACACGGGCGCACACACGCAACACGAGAGTACATGGCCATCCGCAGTTCGTGGGCTATACGCGGGCTCACCACAGGTCGCACGCCCACAGCGGTGAAAAATAAACTCCAGAAACAGAAATCAAAACACAATTTCCAGGCCACGTAAAAATGAGCCAGCAATACTGGTTCTAATCCCAGACTTGCAAGTAACATGTTTTTATCTATTAACTGTGTGATGACTGCTCTTCCCTGGAGTATTTCCAATCAACATCACCACGCGTTGAGAGTATTTGGGCTGCTATACACATTTCCACGTGACGATAAGCCACTTCCTTGAGTTATCATTTGTGATAGCCAGGTTTCTTGGCTATCACAAATGTATACAGCTCAGTGGTGGGCATTACCTGGTAAAATAAAAATTGTTTAGTCGAGTAGTTAAGTTTAGCAGCCTCCCTCACCGCGCTTGGTGAGCAGCGTCTGGTCCTCGGTGCGCAGCGGGTTGCCCTTCTCCCACTGGATGTAGCGCTTCCACAGCTCCACCTGGTGCGCCTCCTGTGGCGTGTTCTGGGGCGGCACCGACGGCGCGTTCCTGTCCAGCCCCTTGGTCACGGTCTCGTACTCCTGGTCGCGGGGGGAAAAGCACACGCACGCACAGACACGCACGCACAGAAACGCACGCACGCAAAACGCGCAGCGGCAGCAGCGGTGCCGGAGAGTTGTAATCGATTAATGAATGCGGCGACAGCAGCGATGTAAAGACAACTAAGAAACTAGCTTTTAGTACTTTAAAGTCTGTTTCTCATAGGGGACTATCGACACGCTCCGGGTAAGGTAGAGGTGACAGCTTATCTGTGCCATACCCGGAGCATGTCGGTGACCACCACATGATCAACACTCGCCGGCATTACGGCCAGCAAGTTCCATGCATTGTAGATTTGTAGGTTTATTACTTCGATAAATGTTTACAATATACCCCCAGACTCACCTTGGCGACACGGCGTGCGTTCATGTAATCTCGGCTCCGATCGTCGATCATCTTCTTGGCAAGGTGCACGTTAATGCCCTGCGCAAAGAACACAAACGCACGATCGTCAAACAGTACCCGGCGCAGATGCAAGCTTCCAAGACTCCGAATAACGTCCTTCCCCCACACCTCCGATTAGCAAGGTTGGCTACGTATGGTGCGAAAGAAGTTCAACATACATACGTATATAACAAGAGCTGAAGAGTATGCAGAGAAGCGTGGAGAGAAACAGGAAGGGAACTTACACTCTGACAGACAAATGCAAGTCCGAGGTATCATGTTGACTGTTGAGAAAAAGTCGGTGGAATCGGGCAGCACACACCGCCAGACAGAATGATGCCCAACGGATGAGACTGGTGACAGCCAATGGCAGCTAACACATCGAGTGAAGACTAAACCCCAGGGGATGGGCGCCACGGTGGCTAGGAGATGTTAACTACCTCACCTGGTATACAGGAAGTCGTGGGTTTGATCCCAACCCTGACGCCTGCTGTGTAATTGGAGTTTGCGTGCCTCCCTCCCCATGGTCATGTGGATTTTTCTCCAGGTCCTCTGGTTTTTACCTCCACATTTAGAAACATGCGTTTTAGAGTATTTGGCTGCTATAAATGCCCACGTGATAAGCAACTTGTTGAGCTATCATTTGTGGCCAGGTCACTTCTGAAAAAGGGCTGTATAGCTCAGTGAGCCTTACCTGCTACAATTAAAAATTTGATTAGTTTTTAGTTTAAGCAATATGATCAGCTCGTGTTCAGAAGCGAGACGCACTGCTGCATTGTGGGACCATGAAGGATGGTACTGACAGAGGCAGGCCATCATCCAGCAGTTGATAAATAACATACCTGTCAACCCATACGGTTTACCCGTATTCTTGTACAGGGAAATTGAGTTTTCAGGTCCATACGGCGTGCAGCCATTTCAATACGGGCTAAGAAAATGTGTTTATTTATTTGTGTTTCTCCCTTGTGATGGGGCTTTGCAGGATTTATAAGGGCACATGGTGACTAATAAGGTCTAAATTGGTCAGTAATAAGGTAGGCACTGATAAGGGGTTGACAGGTATGAGATAATGGCTGCTTCTGCCGATGATGATGAGGGCGAGATGGCAGGATAACATGAGTCAGCTGGTGGTCTCGACGGGCACAGCGCCCCTTAACACGCGGAGAGTTTGCCGCTGCGTCTGCTCTCCGATTAGCGCGGTTGGCTGCGTACGGTGCGAGCAAACCTCAACGTGCGTACATGCGCTCACTCGAAGCCTCACCTCCTCGTATTTGTTGTAGTCTCGCCACAGGTGCTCGATGTTGATCATGGGGTTGACGCATCCACGCTGGTAGACCCTGCGCACGGCCGTGATGCGCTGGTTCTCCGCGTACGAGCCCACCGCCTCCCTACACAAAGATAAAAGCCTTTCAGAGACTGCTCTGGGGTTAGCGCTGTTAGCGAGCACCGATTAAGGTCGGCACTCAGGGCCGTCCAAAGGGGAGGGGGGTGCGGAGCCTGGGACAAATCACAGCGTGTGGGCCGCCCCCCCGCCGACGCTTTGAAACTAAACCAGAAGTATTACATTTGACACCACCGTGACGTCGAAGCACGGGCCCCCCCAAGGCGCGGGGCCCAGGGCAGCCGCCCAGATTCGCGGTATCCTAGGGACCCCTCGGCCGACATGGCACACGAGGTGATGCGTGGACTACACCACGTCCGGTCGCTTTGTCCGACCCAGTGCTGATGCTTCCAGCACCGTGTGTCAGGTACTCACGCGAGGCTGAATCGACCTAGAGGAGGCCCAAGACCGGTTCAGAAAATCACCACTGATGTGAGCCACGGCCAGGACTCGAACTCGGGGTGCCGGGATCGCAGTGCAGTGTGCTATCTACTGCACTTCCACTTCCAACCGTATGTAAATTCTCACACACGTGCAAAACAAGTGGTGTAATTATTTGAACAACATCTACCACGTCACTTAAGTGGCGGTTACATAACCGCTGAGCTTGTGCCAGACTAGGTGCACTTTGAGTGCCATGTTAAGCAGCCTTGCAAGAGAGACCCAAAGGCTTGAATAGACAGACCTTGGCAAATAATATTTCATAAAAGTACTTACACTCCCTTAAGGAAGCTGATGTAGTCAACCCAGATCTAAAAAAGAGAAACATTAAAACACTGGAATTAACGTCAGGTTTGCAATTGCAGTCCAAACACAATGATTTACCGCGAGGGTGTGCTGTTTCCTGCACGGCATCTTGATATGCGGTAACATTTATACAATTTACTTCAACCGATAAGCCGTGGGGGGGGGAGTTGGTGGGTGCCTTACTGGGTAAGACATGATGTCCATTCCAATCTTGTCCAGGGCAAAGTCATAGGCCTGAGCCATCTTCTCTCTAAGGCGAGGAGGGGAGCAGGGGGGAGGGGGTGGCGGGGAGGTTGAGAATAATTGTAACGTCCGTGCCCGGAGGTATCGCGTTCGTGGTCTCAAGTCTACATGCAAGAATCAGAATCAGAACATTTATCCTGGAGGAATCCGATGAGCTATAAACGTGTTTCACAGACGTCCGGCAAGCGATGCGGCACAAACCGCGCGTGCTTTCCGGCTAGCGCAGTGGCGGCGAGCTTGCTTTATAAACAACAGCTCTGTGACGCTGGGTTCTCTGAGCTGCATCTATTCGTCGGAGCTCATCCTGTGACTAGAAAGCCAATCTCTCTAGGTCAATGGTTCTCAAGGCGTGGACTCCGGGCACCACAGGGTGGACCGCGACGGTTCTCCAGGTGGGTCCACGGGGGCTGCGATGTCAACGCAGGTTGATCCGGACAATAACAAAAACGTTTATTACCCCTTTTGTTTCGGACATGAAATTAATATTTTTACTTACGACGTTTCATTTTTTAATTACATTAGGCAAACCACCCTGACCCTAAGATCTAGATGCCACCGCTAAAAACAAAACCTTATAACCGAGTTATATATATATATAAAAAAATAAATTCCGGTAAATACGAATCAATTTGTACTAGTGGTATTTAGAAAAGTGAATGCGTTTTGTCACCAGGGGTGGAGGGTGGCTGGGTGGTCCGTGGAAATGTTTTCTTCGACTGAGTGTCCACGGGCCAAAACAAAGTTTGAGAACCGCCGCTCTAACGCTAAGGCTCGCTGTTGGGCTAAAAGGGAGTTGTGGTCACTTGACACCAAAAGGCACGTCATTTCAATTTCAGTGGCTCTCTCGCAACCACTCCTATACACGTGGAGCGAAAGAACCCAGCCGAAAGCGGCAGCCACAACGCACGATAAATAGAATGAGCGCGAATGTACGTGTGTTGAAGGAAAACAAACTAAATACAAAAAAAAGTTCTAAAGAAAGAAGTTTTCAATCTTGATTTAGCGGTGCGTAACTCCCAGCGGCTTCTTAGAATGAAACGGTCGTGCCATGGCCATGTGTACGTATCCCTCTACTACTTCCTGTCCACTTCCTTAAAACCTTAACCAACTTCCCCCTTCCCCTTCCTAACCTTGCCCCACCCTTTCATCATCCTCCCTTGCCACCCATTCCTCTTGCCCTTCCTAACCTCGCCTCTCCCTTAGCCTATGATCACCATCTTTCTTGCCATCCCTTCCCCTCCCCAACACTCAAACCCCATCCCTATTCCCCAACAGCCAATAACTAGCGCACCATTTATAATTATTGTAAAGCGCTTTGACCAAACGCGCTATATAAATTCCTAGATAAGATACGATGTACGGGAGACAGTGTGTGTGGGGCCAGGAGCGAGTTTAATAAACCGTGAAAACAATCCGGCGGAGAGGCTCACTTGAAACTGGGCAGCTTTCCCTTGGTGTCGCGCACGTAGGTGAGGTAGCATTTCCACAAATCGATGTGCAGAACCTTCATGAGACATCGCTGGAACAGCTGCTCCACACAAAATAGCGGAGCCCCAGCGTTAGCGTTGGGCAGCGTTTCTCGGCGAGGGCACGGTTGCCATCGGCGAGCGTGCCACTCGATCCGGCCACAAAGCGTGGTGGGAGCGGTACCACGGCGCGTGGTCCAGTCGCAGGCATTTGTTGACCACACACGCACGCAACAACAACCACCGCCGCCATTCTAAAAGATGTGGCGGCGACGTCATCACGTCGCTTGCGCCAGGCTATGTGCACGTTAAGACCACGCGAAGTGTCGAACGCCCACTGGTAGGTCACGGGACAGACCCAGGTGCCATGGGTTGACTCACTGAGATGACTGGCCCGATGCATCACGTGCCCCCTACTGTGCCACACATGCGCACACAACACTAGGCAGACTAACACACACGCATACGCTCCACAAGCTCACGTTTGAATGTAGTGAACTAAAGAATGCCTGCACCACACTTTTCACTACCGAAACCATTTTTGTCACGCACTGCTCATGTGATCTTCTTGGTTCTTTCGGTAAAGTCACGTAGAAGGGAAGTAATAAAATAATAAAAATAAAACATAATAAAATAATTCTCACGTTTCGGCCACAACGCAAGCAGCCGTTCACCTGAGGAAGGCTGCTTGCGTTGTGGCCTGAAACGTCGTGAGAATTATTTTATGAAGTTTTATTTTTATTATTTTATTACTTCCCTTCTACGTGACTTTACCGAAAGAACCAAGAAGATGAATCCCTGCAGTCACGAAAGCTTTAAATCGAAATTTAACTGCTCATGTGATGTTACACCTTTAGGAATCTAAATCACAAGGGCATTCTGGACAAAGTTGAAGACTGGATTCATCATGGCTCAACCCTGCCAGAGATGAGCAGGAAATCACTATCAAGGAATAATTAAATGCACGCCGATGTTATTACGCGTAAATTTAATTTTAATCCAGTAATTTTTTTACATTTAATTATTTCCAGTATGCGGGACATCCCCCGTAGCCAGAAAATAACTCTAATTAGTCCGGCTTCGACAGGATTCATAGTCATAGCGAGGTTAACCCCAAGAAAACAACGATCGGTCGTGTTAAGAACCGACAAAGCAGCGAAAATCACAGCTCTTTGGTCTGGTCATTCCCCCCCCCTGACCCATAACAACGGTTGTCACGCAGCTTACCTTTTCTACTCTGTCAAAGTGTTTGGATTTTATCTGGAACGCAGCACAAGAGGGGAAAAGCATAGCAAAGTCATTTCTGCAGCACAGTAGGGGAAATCGACATGAAATGAACGCAAACACGACGGTACATTCTGGACTCACGCATCGCTCGCATTTCACGTGCAACGTCGCAAACTGAATTCAATTAACGTGCACCTACAATAAGTCACAGGGTTTTCACGCAGATTTATTTAAAGGTATGCACAAACTCACACGCCGTAACTTCAATAGAGCAAATCAACCGTCGATATTCACAGCGAAATAACTCAACACACTCGTCAACAACAAGGCGGGTCTAAAAACAAATACGAGTGTATATGGGCGACGTTTTGGGCAATGGGCCTTCTTCATAACGCATGGCATTTAAGAAAGTTTTAATTTCTGTAGTATATGCAAAAATGGGCCACCGATGTGCTATGAATAAGTCAGCATCAGTTTTGTTCCACGAATGCATACGCTGCACATCACACGAGTTGTAATGTTATGTACGCCACCAAAATATACACGGATATGGAAACACCAATATATAGCTTAATACAACAGTGGCCAGTATTATTCACGAGTTAAAAAGGTCCACTTTCTATATTCAAGTCTTGAAATTAATCAATCGCACACCAAACAACTCGGTGGACATATATGATCAAGTCCCATTCTCGTCAAGCTTCCGAGTCATCGTACGCGTGTAGACCACGCTGAAAATAGAAATTAAAGAGCGCTATTCCTCATCCAGTCGAGCAGCAGCATTGCGGTTCGCAGACTTCCCCCGCCTCCGTTTAAGCCCGGTTGTCCACGTAGGGTGCGAAGGAAGTTCAACGTACGTACACTTCTCTTCCATGGACCTGACGACCCGAGTTCATTCCTTGGCTCAGCCCACCGTCAGCGTCGAGTGATATCTGATCTGGCCATTTGGCTTCCAGCGTGGCGAGGTATGGTAAAACAACTCCCATGACTGGCATTGGTGCGGGGGAAGGTCTTCGTACAGCAGTGGACTGACAAAGTGGCTGAATTATTAAACAGTTTTAATCACCATTATCATTAATTTTATTTTCCGTTATGATGCCACGAGACGGCATCTTACATGTATATAAAGTACAAAAATATATTCCGATTTGTTTAGGAAACATGTCAGCTCTTGAGAAAACAACTTCTTGTCTCAAGTGTGAGGCGTCGTGATGGATGTGTAATGCATGATTAAATCGTGCCAGTCAGGTTTCACCAAAGAATAAACTAAACTATTTTTATTTTCAGAAGCGACCTGGCTATCACAATTGACGGCTCAATGAATTGGCTTATCACGTGGAAATTTATATCAGCCAAATAATACTCTAAACGCGCGATGTTGATTCTAGATGTGGAGGGAAAAACCGGAGGCACCGGAAAAAAATCCACGCGGCCACGAGGAGACGTGCACACTACAAATATAGAGCAGGCGTCAGCGTCGGGATAAAAACCACGTCCTCCTGTATACTAGGCTTGGCAGATAACATCTCGCCACCACGGCACCCCCAGAGACACGATGCACAAATTGAACTTACACTATATACAACCAATTAAACTAAATTTTCAAGGGTTATGGAAAAGATAATGCAATCTAAGACGAGATTTGAAATGTGACGGATTCTCTTTTCCCCCCCAAAGCCACGTTTTGTTTGAACAGCCGAGAGGAAGACGTGGCGTTGCGTGATGTCAGTGTAACGCGATACGAGCGCGCGGAAGGATGTAGCCGACAGAGCGAAATCGACGGAGATCTCATTCCTCGTGTTAAAAACACTGCCGACACATTCGTCAAACAACGCTGCCCTAAAAAGGAACACTACACAACAGGTGCCGTTTTGGGTAACGAAGCTCCTTCAGAGCACACCAGAGGCCAGAGACCTCTCATGTCGTTATTGACGTGTTTTTGACATCTTTAACAAAGATCCTTAATGTATGTTTTTGTTGCCTTTCCTCTACAACTATTGCACTGCTACATTTAACGACACGGGTTTGGCAACGTAGGCCTTTGCTTGATACGCTGTAGAGTTGCGGTACTTAGAAAAATGTACACCCCCTTTTTCCACCCACTGCTGAATGAAGGCCTCCCCCTTTGCCACGGCGGTCATGGAAGATGTTTGCCCATACTTCACTGCGCTAGCCAGCACAGGTTGAACGTGAAGGAAGAGCCAAGAGGACCTGTTCAGATACCGCTCGCCCACCGATGTTAACCGTGGCCATGAACCTAAACCCATGACGCCGGGTTGTTCGTACGGTCGGTCGCCGACACGCTGCGGTTGGCTACGCACGGCGCGAAAGAAGTTCAACATACGTACATGCAGATGCCGAGCGTGTCGATGACCACCTAAGAAAAACCAGATTTGACACAAGTGCTAAAATCTAATTTCACAGCGGGGCCTTTATGAACCAATGCACCAACGTCCCCGCCCGACTCTCCTCCCAAACGTCCCGTTAACAGCGCGATCGGCGCAATCTTTACGTTGCACCGCAGACAAATTCCCGTCGCAAACCAGCTCCTCCTCGGTTAACGGAGAAGCCTCCGGTGCCGGCGAAGCGAGGGCAGCGCTAACTTCATGCAGTAGCCGTCCGATGGAATGGGATCCATGGCCAGGGTGGTTGAGCCAGAGCCACACAATGCCATAGTAATTCGCGACTGGCTCGTCGACCGACGATCGGTGCGGTTGAGCGCGACGGTACGCAGAGCGATGTCGAGCGACGACAAAGCAACACTGCTGGCAACAGTTGCTCTGCGCCAAGTGTGGGGTGGGATTTACTGAAGGCGGAGCAATCACACCCGAGCAAACAGTTGCAAGCAACTGAATCGGTCTCGTGACTGGGCGTCTCGACGACTGGTTGAGCGATCGGTTGTGTAACTTGGTTGCAGGCAACTGAATCGCTCTCACGTGTGGGCATCTCTAAAACCAGTTAAGCGATGAGTTGCGCAATTGGGTTGCTCGCAGTAGAGACAAGACTAACTGCAAGCGACTTGTCACCCCATACTTCAAAACCATGCGACACTTGCGAAATACGGTTGTTACAATCCTGATGCAAGTGTGGGGGGGGGGGGGCGGTAGCTAGCTAACCAGAAAGAGGGCAGGAATTGGTTGTGAGGGGCACGGCAAAGACACACGATAGTGTAGTTGCAGCCAACAAAGTTGCATGATGTAGAGAGCGATTGTGTTGCGTGACCGATCCCGGAGGTGGGAGCAGCCCTTTACACAACCAACAGATGGCATCTTTAAGACACCATCAGGCAGCGTAAAGGCAACAAAAGTTTTTTTTGTTAGACCGTGTAAATGTGTCGTTAAACCCACCACCAGCCGATAAGTAAGGTTTGTCACGTAAACAAAACGTGCAAATGAGTTACTCGTACAGCACACTGATGTGTTGGGAGAATAAACCCACGACATTTACAATTCGAGTATGACTTTTCTCTGGTGATTACAACAACCTCATCAGGCGATAGACAGAATTTTTAGTCCTCCCGTATCGGTCTTAAATAGGGGGGTAAAGGTGATGTCATCACTGTGAGCCTTTCAGGTGCGATGACCCTGAGGGGGGTTAATCTTGTCACAGAAGTTACAATGGATCACGTACAGCTGAGAAAATGGAAGTACCTTTTATTGGCTGGGTTATGGTGTCACGACACATTTTTATGTATGCAATCTAACACAAAAAAAACTTGATTAAGGACATTGGTCGTGAAAGCCTGCGTGTTAAAGAGTAAAGGCGACCATAAAGGGGGCCCCGAGAGAAAATGTTTCCGCTCCGTGGCGCTGCAGAGCGGAGCAATAATGACTGCTCCACCGGTTCTCCCCCGAGACAAAACGAGAGCTGTTCCCCCCCCCGTGTGAAATAAAGAGTGGCCAATGTAATATTACTTTTTTTTACTTGCATTTTTAAAAACTGGGATGAAAACAAACCACACGTCGGACCGGTGGTCAAATTGCACTTCATGGTGAACCCAATTAGCCGTCGCCACGGAAGTATTCAACGCCGATCCAATCGCAGTTCTAATTTGGCGATAGTAAAAAGGTGATGTTTATATCCCGTTACCCACGGCAATTATTCTTGCACGCAAGATGGGGGCCATCCATTTAGTAGGTACGCAAAAATCTGTCAAAACCTGACCACTCGTGCCCTCCCTGTACGCAACGCGTACTTTTACACCCCCACCTGCGTATGTACGCCTGACGCACCCCCCCCCCCCCCGAATACTATAGAATGGCCGATATTTAATCCACGCAGAAACGATCAATAATATTAACGTGTTTAAGCAGATAGTCCACCGCCGACTGCATTTTCGAGGCTTCACCCACCCCCCCCCCCCTGTTTCCGATGCGTACGCACATTGGCAGTAGACCCCCCATATGCACGCGTACGCATTTGGGTTAACCCCCTCCCCCCTCCATGCGTGTGTACTAAATGGATGGCCCCTATCCCACATGGAGCACGATGTTTCCTGAACATCTTTAATCCGTCAGTCCTGAGATTACAACTGTAGTTGTCAGGAAGACTTTTATAGTGTGGGATTTCGCATCAAAGTTATGATTCGTAGTTGATTGCTTGGATAAGGCCACGTCAAGACTTGTCCGTTTTCGCGTTTGTGTCCTGCAGTAAGATGTGAAATATTATATTACACGATTGCTTATAAAACTCCCCGCACCTCCGATTATCACGGTTGTCTAACGTGCGTTGCGAAAGAAGTTCAACATCCATACATGCTTCTCTCGCTATCTTGGTAGATGCAAAACATTATCGCTGGCCATAACCCAGGAAACAGGCCTGTACCCATCAGCCCCTGGCCTCCTCTCCACTTACAAATCAATAAACCGTCGCGATTCAAGAATCAATTATTTATTTTACACCATGGCGCATCGTAGCACCTCTGGAAGCTGCAGGTCACGTGAACCCAATATTTTACGCAAATTGGAAATACACGATTCTCAAGTGCAGCTCGAAGCACGTATCATAAAAAAAAAAAATCGCAGAGGCTAAGG